AATGTCAAGTCAACTTGATTGAGAGCGACTTAGATGTTCCAGGCAAATTGCTCCCTTATGAATAGAGCTTGAAGCTAATTTGCATGTTTGAGGCTCATATAGATATTTTATAGACTCAGATGCTTCTAACCATGTGACATGTGATAGGTACACGCACTCATCTTTTCAGCCGACTGTCTACACTTCTAGAGTTACGAAGCAAGGATTCTAGTTGTAGGAAAAAAAATACTTCACGTTGAGGAAAATAAAAGCATCAAACTAATTTTGTACCTGCCTAGACTCACTAAGAACTTGTTATCTGTAGGTAAGGTAATAGACATTGGTCATCTAGTAGTTTTAACTTCCGAGTGATGCTTTGTTTTAGAAAAGAAGTATCCAAAGCGAGTAATACTCTTTGATGAACTTGATCCTAAGTTAAGATTGCATAGGATTAGCAATAGCTTACAACGAGCTAAATTCTACGCACACTCTACTTCACTCACGGTTCCACTTGACATTCCTAACTTCATAGGACTCGCGGAAGACGTATCGGCTCCAACCATCAGCAAGAAGGATCCCACCAACTTTTGGCACAAGCGCATGTGCCACATCAATCATCAAACTACGCACAAATGTCGTCTAAAAAAATATGTTCAAGGCATTCCTTACTTGCAAGTAGGCAAGGACAAGAAATGTGAAACTTGTGTACTCGCCAAGCAACATAGATCTAGACGACATGAACATGTTGTTAGACAAACTACTCGCCCCTTTGAACTAGTGCACAATGACTTGTGTCGACAAGTTCATAAGTACACTGAGTTCAAATACTTAGTCTCATTAATCGATGATTACACGCGGGTTTCCTTTCTTCGTTTGAAAAATGTCACCTTCCAAAAGTTTAAAGAGTTTGGGAAGTTGATGGAAACTTAGTTTTTCCACAAAATGCACTCAATGATACTGAGCACAATTACTCAAACACTATGGCAACTCTAAGCTCTGACTGCAGATGGAAATACTTATCGGTCTAATTCACCAGCTTTGTTGTCCAAAAGGGAATTCAACGACAATTGACAACCGCAGATACACCACATCAAAACAAAATTTTAGAGAAAAAAAATCGGACCTTAATGTAGTCAACACTCTCCGTTTTCAACTTGCAAAATTATTCCGCCCATTTTTGGACTATTTAATGTGTGCTCGTAACTATGTGCTCAACTGTTCAGCTACTCGTGCATTAACCTCAGGACTCCATTCGAGAAGCTATATGGCTACTAGTCCAATCTGTTTCAACTTTGAATTCTTGGGAGCACTGCATATGTCTACGTTCCAAAAGAAAAACACAACAAGCTAGGTCACAAGGCATCCAAATGTGTATTGGTGGATTATGGTGAACAATCCAAAACTTATAGGCTATGGTGTCCAATCCGAAAGAAGGTCATACTATCCGACGATGTGACGGTGTTTGAATCAGTTCCAGGTAATTTTCACTCTGATGCACCGTTTGTTGATCTCTTTGCGAAACTTCTTGATCAAGACAATGATCTTGAGTCCAAGGCCTCACACGCAAGCAGACATTATACCTACGGACAACGATGACATAGGATTTACATCATCAAGGTCACCACTAACTCTTCTGAACAGTCATGTCTTGCCAATTCTACCCCGACGCATTCCTCCACATGCTATCAAGAGATTGGCCTTGCATTTTAACTTCTTGAACATGGAAGATTCAGGTTCATCTAACGAAGCACACATTGGAAGGAAGTATCATTGATCCCATCAATGATAAGTTTTTTGAATGTGAGGCTTAGAATGATATTCAATGTCAAGCAGTTCGGCGTGAGGAATTTGATGCTCTCACTCAAAATCTCACTTAGAATTTAGTGGACCAACCTGTTGATCAACATGTTCTGCACTCTAAGTAGGTCTACAAGGCAAAATCAGGCTTAATCAAACTAGAATACGCCTCAAGGTCCGACTTGTTGCACCGTGATATCGAGCAAAAATGTGAAAGCAATTATGATAAGACATTTGCACTTGTAGTTCCTTGGTTTATATTTTGGACAATGATCGCTATATCTATCACCTTAAGATGAAAGCTCAATCACATGGATGTGATCACTACTTTTTCCAACGGCAAGCTTAAAGAACGTATCTACATGGAACATCCTTTTGGATTTGTTATATTGGGTCATGAGGATAAATCTGTCAATTGAGTCGATCGTTTTATGATTTGAAACAATCTCCTTTATAGTTGTATGAGGAGATTGACAATCATTTGAGATGACACTCCAGATCTAGGCAATCTATTTGATACCTCTAGCGAGAACACCCTCCACGTGTTTATCAACTCTAATTATTTGAGTTGCAAAAATACTAGAAGGTCGGTTGGTTTGTACATATTTAAGTTTGCCGTTGGACATGTTTCCTATCTAGCAAGCAACAACCAACTGTGAGTGACAGTAACACCAAAGCTGAATACAAGGCGTTCTCTAAGGAAGCTAAGGAGGTTGTCTACATCCCTAGACTACTCAACGAGTTAAAGGTTCTCAATTTACTCAAGGTTACCATCTTCTGCCATGACGAATAGGTGCATTGGCACCTAGCTTCTGCGTCTACACCAACTTTGGCCGATCTGCACTCGTCCATTGATAACCAGGGTGCCTTTAAATTAACCAAGAACCCACAGTTTCACGCTAAGTCAAAGCATATAGAGGACAAACATCACTTTATTTGTGAAAGGGTGCTATAGGAAGAAATTCAGCTCAAATATGTAAACTCAGACTATAATCCAGTAGACCTTCTGACTAAGCCTTTACCCAAGCACAAGTTTGAAAAGCACAGATACTTTATTGGCATCCGTTCTTTGCAAGATGTACAACATGGGCAAATCAATTGACGATGAAACACATACTCATTCGTGAGATTGTCATGCCGAATGAACCGGTGTTTTCTCTAGAGGGATGTTGTTTGATGTTACTTCAAGAGGTATATCACAGCTGTCTAGTTAGGCTAAGTCTGTAGGAAGACAGTAGATCTCTCCTGATTTGTTGTTCACCTAAATAGATAGACATCTTGGCCCTTGAGTTTGGGGTTCCACCCCTACCACTTGATTTCACTTCTGTTTTGTATTTAGGCGTGTGGACTTCCGCTTATTACATAGTTCTACTCTTAAGTACACCAACAGACTTATGCATCTGTATCTCATGAAAATATCCACATGGCATTCACAAAACCCTACGAGCCCATCTTGAGGTGGAGTGTTATGAGCAGGGCTGACACCATCAGATTTTTTGCAATCAGGTTAAATTTTTTTTTCCCATTAACTTTTCATTTAGAAATCGGGTTAAATTTCTTTTCCTCAATTGTTTGGGGATGAGACGAAAGAGGAAAAAAAATCTATGACAAAATATGTGTTAATTTGAACATCTACATGACAAAATGCGTAGTTGAGCCTTTTATGGATTCTAAGTATGTAGAGATAGCATAAATAGCAAAGAAGACAATTTGATCTAAATAGGTATGTCGTGGACATAAGATAAATTCGTGACTAAGATGAATTATCCTACGTTCTTATAGAGTATCACTATACCAAAATTCTTCGATGTGGACGGATGGATCCAATGATGATAATGAAAGTCTAGAATCATGAGCTATTTGTTAGTACATTCACCACACTGTTCTGTACTGATTAATAATAGTCTAATAAAATTGATTGAAACCATTGTTGAAATCATATTTCCTTTATTAACCCGAATTAATGTATGACAAAAATCGAGTTTTTTCAACCTGTATGCAGTCTGTAGGCATAATCACGTAGCCGGCTAGGCCTCAAATTTATCTGGCTATGCAATCAACCGAAATATTCGGCTGAAATAAATGCTTACTGGATAATTTTGACCGAAAACGTGAATTCGGTCCGAGTTTACGGTTTTTTCGTAACCTTTTCTGCAGGGCCGGGGCGATGCTAGAAAACATCTGATTGGAACTAATTACTTTCTACTTCTCTGACGTATTCTCTTAGTACAATCTGATTGATAGGCCCATGCTTGGAAAGATTTGAACTTTTCTGTCTCGGATAGCGGTGGCAATATTTATCGTCAAGCCGGCTGTATAATCTGCTAGCCGGTTTACAAAATAGATTAGTCGGCTAGCCGTTAGCCGAGCCGTAAGCATCCCTAGCAGTCTATCTTCGAGAAGCTCAATGTGTTGGATCCCATCGAGTGAGCAAAGACATGGTCCAAAATATCGAAAGATGAGTAGGTAATGATGGTATCATAACATTGTATACACCACCGGGACGCGAGATTAAATGGCGCGAAACTACAGGGAGAGGTTTAGTTTGCCTTTGCAAGTAAAATCCAAAGAGTTCTTACTCAGTGGCAGCTAATCAAGCTTTGCAGTAGATATTCAAGGCTTATATCTACTTAGGTGTGAAAATACATATTCAACAATATCCATACTCTACCTTTGAGTGGCCAAAGTATAACAACTGGTGACCAACCCATCACAATTTATCTGGAACAGAGAGCCCATCACGGCCCAGATGATTCGTTGCACAGGCGGCTGTACTGATAACAAGGCTACAGAGTCAATGCCCTCTAAAAGTTGTCTACACCGTATGTTAGTCAGGACATGAGTTTAGGCAATATCATGTGTCATATTATCAGTGTTCGATCACAATCTTTGGTCGGACTGTTTATGGACCGGAGAATGCCAATGTACGAATTTAATGAATAGAACTTTGACGGTTCGCCTTGAATCATACTTACAAGAGTAATCGTATGCAAAGGGATGGGAAATATCCAACTGGGCAGAATTAATCTGAGATTTGATCTGCTTTGATGAAAATGAAAGAACATAAGTGTTTGCAAACAACAACATACAATCTTCTCATACATCCACTGACAACAGTAGGTGAAGACCACCTTGATCTCCTCAACAATACATGAAACACGACGTAAACCCTAAACAGCACATGACCTCCTAAGAGATGGCAGCGATGTGACAAGTAATGACCTTCAGGAAATCCACTTTCTTTCTTTCAGAACATTTTGCCGACTATTACCGCTGATACATGTAAGCCAGGCGTAGAAAATCGTAACGAGCAACCTCCCAGGTCACAGGTATACCTCAGACTGCAGAGACGGGTGTGACTTAGTGCAGAAATCACTTTTGGTTAGAGTCTGCATTTCATCTTGAAGTCCACCGGCTGATCTTAGAAATATCGCATTTTGCTTTTCGGCTCGAAACCGGATCAATTTTCCATAACCGATGAGGTCGACTGATTTTACAATAGCAAGAGAGGGAGAGAAAATTGTCTCTCCTGTATATTGTTCAGAATCAGGCAGAAAATAAATGTCGGGAAAATCCTTTTGCGGCTCTAGGTTACATTTCAGACGTCAATGTGCTTGATTGTGAAGATGGAAAAGTACATCCGTGAAGCACGGGCACTGCTGTTGGGAGTGCATTTGCTTGCCTTCATGGTTGTTATGGTACAAAATTTACAGTTAAGTAGAAATTTCGTCGTTCTTTTTCTCCGTCTCTAATATCATAGACGGTGGTAAAGAGGGTCGTAGAAGGAGGTAAAGAGATGGTCCCAAGAGAGGCACGAAAGCAAGTGCCCACAAAGGAGATGTATTATCAGACCTGTGAAACAATTGGAGATTGTTAAATACTTCCTGGCTTTCCAATATCCGAGTAGCTGTGCTTATCAGATTGCCTATCTAGGTACAGAAGGTAAAACACAAAATTCTGATTTTGCGACCGCAGTGATGCAATGGTATAAAAATGAGGGGAGGTAACACCTGATACATACCCTTTCCTGATGGCAAGGTCGTTGTAGACCCAGAATGGGCACAAGGTTGCCAGCGTGAAGAAATCAATTGTCATTATGTGTATCTGCAGTATAGAACAGAATCCTCGGTAAGAAACATAGGAGAGGCAACTTAGAAAATAGGAAAATCGTTAGGCGTCAAAGAAAGTAGCACACTTTTCATCATTCGGTATAATATTTCTTGTTTCAAGCTGACAGTTGGGACGCCTCTTACGGCTTAGGCTTATAAATATAGAGTTTATAGAAGGATTTCTCTTGTAACCTCTTGCTGATATCACTTACAAATTTGCTCTCTCTGAAGTATTGGGAAAATTCAATCCACTGATCCGCACCAGCAACCCCCACGTATCCTAATAATACAACTGCTGAAACGACAGCCACCTGAAACAGACAGAGAACGGATGTTTAGTTACGTTCTCGGAGTAGAGGTTTCACAATATTAAACATGAGTGCTTTCCCTCTCATACGCTCAATTCCTCCAGCACTTTCACATGAAGGGATTCTGTTGCCATGCTAATCACATTGTATGTTTTGGCTTCGAAGCTTAGCTAATATTATCATAAGCGTGAATATTTCAGAATGTTTAAGCCTGGAAGTATGATGAACCAGTGACAGTAGGATCAATAAATCATTCATCCTTACTGATCTCTCGTATTACCTATTTTCTATCTTTAATCTACCCGAATGCTCCTTACTTTCTCACTGATGAGGTGACATACAGTGTTTAAGCTCTAAGAATTTTTCTTGTCAGGCAGGGAGTCTGTGTGTGACTCACCACAGCAGTAATCTTCGACTCCAAAATAGCTAGAGGCCACCGACTGAGCTCATCTCTGGATACAGAAGGTGGTGGCGGTCGCCAAAGCCCAAAATATGGTAGAAGAGCAAACGCTCCTAGAGCTACTGAGAGTGCTGCAAATGGTCCGACAGGCGCACCTTTCCGACTGTCACGGCCAGAGCGAGGAAAATTAGTACTCACCTATATCAACCATGAAGGTCTCATGAGCCATTTCTATAACATAAGTTTGTAAAAGACATGCATATTTTTAGTAATTATCGTTAAGATATGTATCCTCAAAAGCGGTAGAAACATTAGGCCGTATTACATCCAAATTTGCCGAGTCTTATTTTCATTTGCTGTGAGACAGTTGGGTCAACTCTCTAATACGGGTTCTTCATACGATCGTGGGCAACGCTTTCATAGACAATTCTAGGACATATGCATTAAAAAGAGCCAATGATATCTTATCAATATTAGTGGTAAGTTGTTACAGTAAGAGTTGGATTAAATCCGTACCTTCTCCCACTGGGAATCAAAAGGCAAGTGTATATAAGTGGCCATAAGCCCATCATTAACCATTCCCCGGTCAAAACTTTGTTCATAGCGAATCCATCGTCGCCGTGAAGACCAATTAATTTCTCTATGAAGTAGGTGTCTCTGTACTGCAGAAAGTGGTATGAACAAGGAAATCGTTAGTACAAAAATAAAGACAATCAACAAGACTTTCTACAATTCAGATAAAATACAAGATACATTAGACTACTGTACTAACAGATATCCGAGAAGGCATACAGTGACCAAAGACAAGCTGCAGCTCAAAATGCATGCCTAGAAGAAGAATTCATCGGTTTTATGAAAAAAAAATCTCGAATTCTTCCAATTGAGCAGATAGTGATCTGGTACTTGATAATCACAGAGAGAAATGCTTAGAGGATGAACAGATGGATTACCGATGTTTGATTTGGTGCCAAAACAGCGCCATAATACAACAAACCAGCCCAGAAAGAAAAAATGAGAGCGCTAGAAATCCAGTCCACGGCGTCACCACCTCCTCTCCCACCTCCTCCGCCTCCGTCATTAGGCCCACCCATGCCTCCTCCGCCGCCCCCTTGCTCAGTCGTCACGACAGTGTTCTCCTGTTTTGTGGAGACTGCAGCTCTGGAGAAAACAGGCTTTTGAATTCTAGTCTCAAAAGAACTCGACAGGCGATTTTCTGCCACTCTCGAGGAGACATGGATGGGAAATAAAAAATTGGACTTAAATCCTCCCGACTGAGAAGTCCAGCCAATTAGACCGACTAGTGGCGCAGAAGGAGAGACCAAGTCGGAGCTTCTCGAGCTTCTAGCAATATGCCTCTTCGGGCTCCGAGAATAATCCAGATTTCGAGCAGGGCGTGAGCTTCCTCCTACATGGTTGCCAACAATGCGGAAAGTGGCTTCAGCTAAACGACTGGAGGACTGACCGGGCCATCGAGGATTTGCAAACACCGATCCCGGCGGCAAGATGGAAAGCGCCTGGACACTCGCCATACCGTCTTCTGAAGCTCTCCTACTGCTACCACTCCTCGTGACTAACCATGCCCAAGGCAATTCCAGAACCAAAATGTCCGCAATTCTCCCCTGCCATCCTTCCCTCCTGCTCCATGTGGGGTGCCGTTTTCTCCTACGGCTTCGGATATGCCTTCTTCCGTTGTGAGACACTGGACAAATTACGAGGCGAATGGAGGAGATGAACACACGCCCTCCAACGCGAGCGTTTCGACAGGTGGCACATGGACTTCGTACCTGTTGACATGTCACATATTCTGAGGAACGAACTCCTCTCTGTGTACTGGCTGCTGGGATTGAATGATTACGAAAAAAAATTCCAGCAATTCCAGTCCACTCCGTTTCTGTAAGAACATTGTGTTTTTGTTGGTGCGGTTTCATGTTGGTGACGAGGAACCTCAGTTCACTATCCAACGATGCGACAGCATATATGGAGTTGAATGAAGGTGATTTTCAGATCAAACTCATTTTCATTCTAGAGCGAATTGTAAGTTTTTGTATAGACCAATAAACTAGACGTATGTTATAAGTATGTACAAAATATAATTCTAGTTCAGTATATGATGCGAACTATACTTAAAGATGCAGAAGATTTTTGGCTTCAAAACCTAAGAATCTCTTTGAGTCTCAAGAATATGTACTACGTAATGATCATGCCATTCAATATTGGAGAATTGTAATGCCTAGAGTTTGGTCAAGTCATTCCTTAAGATATTAGTGAAACGTGAAATACTTACATGGTACTGCACACGAAGTAGATCACTATATAAGTATAACGCCACAAAGTGTGTTGTTGTGTGGCGTTAAAAACAAATGTTTAGGGAAAAAATTGGTTTGATTGGAAAAATATATAAGCTATCAGTTAAAATTGTTTTATCATATGGCTTTAGTACTATGGATCTTTAGATAAAGGAACTTTGATTTACAAAACTGGTGTGTCACAACAACTTCTAAACGAACCATTAGTAAAAGTCAAGCAATAACTAATACAGAGAATGTTTATGACAAAGCTATATTCATCACGTAACTTTTTCCACTGTTCAAATGACAAAAGTAGTTAATATCTACTCAAATGAACTATCAAAATCTATAAAGACTCAAATCGTTTGAGTCAATCTTCATTCATACCAAAAAATATGCCAATAACACCAAGGAAGGTGAATAGTATGGACTTTTAAAATGAAAGTCCCGGACCCTATGTCTTGTGTCAAACAAATTTGAATAAGAAAGAACAACACTTAAGATTTATGACTTGAGATGAACATTTGTATGGTGTGATCTCACTTGAATATGTGAATGTGGAATACACATTCTGGAGCACAATATGAGCTACTTTCGAGATTATTCGTCTCATCATACATTCATAGATGCCGTGATTTTTGAATTTACAAAATAATGACAATTAGTTTATAGATTAGTGGGATGATAATTATTTCCACATTTAAATTTATATACTGAAAATAAAATTTAAAAGAATTGATGCAATAAAAAGCTAGAGGTTGGGGAAAAAATTACATGCAATCTCAAACCTCAATGTTTCAAGACAGGGTCTGGAGTTACTTGTATACATTTACTCAAAACTCAATTATACTGGCTGTATCACATGCACATACGTATACACAGTAGCTCTTATGGATGGATTGTTTGCACTAATCGTTTGCAATGTTCACTAATACCCATCTAACGTTCTCATAACTACTCTTCCCCTTAATAACTTCTATTGTCATTTAGTCTGATTTCATTTCTATCTCTTTTCCACTAAGTTTAATTTTAGGGTTTTTAAAACTTCTTCTTTTTCTTGCTGGGAAAAATGATATCATAAACTACCTAGCTCCTATATTCTCACGCCATTTATATGATTCCTATATCGCTATATATATTGCCATTCGCTCATATCCTAATCTCATCATTTTTATTGCTCTACCCGATGCTAAATAATATCCCTTAAATTTCACTTCCAGAATCTTCTGTGATGACGTAACCAAAATCCGTTTCATCTAAAAGCTGGCTAATAACCATCAAAATGTTTGTCATGTTATAGAAAGTATTGACACTAAAACTCACGAAACTCCAATGTTATTCTTTCGTTCCAGGTACATTATCCTCACAATTTGTTGTGAGATTCAAAATTGAACAGGTTCATTGATTCAACGCAACACTAAGTAGTTGACACTGATATACAATAAGTGAGAGTTGAGTAAGTAAACTTAAAATCAACCGACTAAATTCACAACTGAATTTTAGCACTGAAAGACAAGAGATCTACCTCCATTAGCCTAAACCAAAACCTTAAGGAGTTCTCTTCGGTTACAATCTACTTAGTCTTAAAACACGGCCTCACATGCTAGTCGCAATGGCCTTACCATGTCGCTGAAGATAATGGTTGCTTGTATTAGTATGCTCGCAGATCTCCTGGACTTTCTATGTGAGATTGGTCAAGTGTGTTGTGAGCAACTGTGGAATCTGTAAGCTAGTAGCATTGAAAGATCGCGTCCAATTGTAGGGATTGGTTGGCATCCTAGTAAATCGATCATTTTCGCAGCGGCTGATGATGGCATTGTTCGAGAGGAGCCAAGGTCATTTCTAGGTTTAGTTCGTCAACTTAGTTCTTGTGTATCAATGTGCAAGTGTTGAGATTTAGTGATTCAACTCAATAGTTAGTGTTGCGTTCAATCAATAAATCTATTCAATCTTTTATATTAGTATTCTCAATTAAAGTGTTGTTTACACATGCGAGTATAGTTGACTTTCTTTCATGCTAAATAGCAGGCCATGGATGATCACCACTACAATTCCGCAATTCATTTGTATCCTGAAGAAAAGCTCACCAGTCACCGGTCGCACAACTACATGAACAACCATGCGGCTATTCTCCGTACCAAGGCCATGATAAAAGTCAGTGTTTCTCCTCACATTCTTTCATCCATGGCCCAAAGGAAATCTGCATCCATTCTTGGCGGTTTTTATACTTAGTCTTACTACTAATACTACAATGCTGATGGTTTGATTAGCTGCTGTAAATCAACAAGCCTCCAACGTCGCTCCAGATAATAGTTCTGAGAATTCTTTTGGAACTCAGATTGTCGCGCAATGGGTAGTAGCATATGAGTCGGAGAAGACGCGGTGAATCAACGGGGCAGTCACATTTGAACGGCTTTCCCATTTCAAATGTGGTCCAGCGTGCGCGCACAGATCATTCTCGCAGCGGGCCGTTAGGGCAACGGGCCAAGATTCCCGTGAGACATTCCCATCACCGTGCGCTTCTTCAAGCCCGTCGTTCCTTCTCTTTCTACTCGTAAGAGGGTAGCAAGTTCTTTCATCAAAAGTTAGCGTGAGATTGGTTGCATCATTAGTCGATGCTTTGCACTCATCCGCCAGCTTGTATCGGCTTTCAGGCCTGGACTAAGCGAAGTGCGTATATATCTCGTCGGAGGAATATGGACTACACGAGGCAGACAGAGTTTTATCACCCATATTGTGTGTAGAAATCGATCGGAACATTCCGTTGCAAAACTTCTTACTCGAGATCTTTTCTTGACGTTCTTCCGACGTTGGACATCAGAAATATAAAAATATGATTTATTTAAGTATATCATGTATAGATTATATAATTTAAACTATGGAACGTTTTGATTAGATCATTTGAGGTTTGAAAAACAAGTTTTCAAATAAGGCCTAAAAAAAAAATCTATGCAGGACTTTCATGTCATTGTGAGGATTGATATTATGATGATTCAAAGCTGAATACTAAAGTTCAGATGCTGAATTAAATTGTTATTATTTGATTAAATGTGATTTATTAGAGTTAAAAATAATATCTTGCTCAAATATGTCTTTTAAATTAGATTTCAAACTAAAGTTAATGATATTTGACATAAAAATAATCATACAAATTTATCTTTATAATTGCAGTGTTAATTATTTTTTATTAGCACAAATTATGAAAAAAATGAATCAAAAATTGAAATATTGTAATTTAATTCTCAATTTCAAAAAAATTTATTTTAAAATTTACGATTTAGATTTAAAATGATTTATGTAGAAAATTAATAATTATGAACTTGTGATATAATAATTCATTTAAAAATAATTAATGAATAAATTTAAAAAATAATAAGAGACACTAAAATTATTACAATTAAATTTTTTAAAAATTAAATGAAATTTTATAAACTGAAAATAATTTATTTTAAAATATTTATTAGCAAATAAAAAGAAGATAAAATAAGAATATAAAAAACTTACATTTTATTTTACATCAACACTCTCAAATTAGTTAACATGCTTCTACAAACATGAGTACTATATTATTTTTTGCTTTTGAAAATGAATTAAATAAGTCAATTGTGTATTTATTCAAAAAAAAATTATATGCAAATTATGATTTCATTTCATAATGGAAGAATGTTAAGTAATTTGAAGAATTAATAATGAGTTTTATGTTTGGATATTTAAATTGTGACAAGAGTGCATTGATCCTTGAACATACTTAGCTATATGAATCATATTACAATTCTAATTTAGTTTGATGATGACTTTCCACCTAGCAATTTATCAAGTAAGTTGATTATAACAAAAAGTCAAAGAATAAAATTGTCATTGCGGACAACAACTCACAACAATACTTGGATAGTAGTATTGGGTATTATCGTTGAAAGTTGCCATCAAGTTTGGAAAGAATCAAACTGACTCTAAGTTTGAAAGCAAATCAAATCCACCATTTGTAACACAATTGAACAGAAGAAAATACTATAATTTTTTATTGTTTGTAAATAATATCCATGAAAAAAATTTATCTTTACAAGTTTCACATTAGTCCATAACATATATTATTACATGTATTCAAAATTTGTATTAATATATACATACATGTCGTATTTTGCCCATAGTAGTGTATGTATCTTATGTGTATCTTCATGAATTTTGTTATACATTATCTTTGTGACTCTTTAAGTTTTCTTTCAATCACATGTTATATTTTCTGTTTTAGTTGATTAAATATATCACAAGATAGAGTTAGTGTTGTTGTGACAACAGTGTGTTGTTTGTGGAACAATAATAAACTGCAATCAAATAATTGGCAGAAAAATGCATTTCAATATTCATTTGATTATCATTGAAATTTTTTTATTATGCAATTCTCTTTACATAGAATTCTTTCATTCTTTTACATTTTTTTTTTAACTCAACAAGCTCATAAGACTATAGTAATAAATCTCATAGCTACTGTAGAGATTTATTGGATTAGTTTGTTTTCCAAATTTGCATTAAAATATGCTTTGAATAAAGTTTCATATTCTTTAAAAAAAATTTAGAATAAAATGACAAATTGACAATTGTTTCGATGGTGGTTTACATTTTTTTATTTTATCATATTGGTATTTTTTTCCATGATGATTTTTCATATAACATGTTTTAATTTCACAACTATGAATCTTGTAAAGATTATTTTATGTCATTATATATATATATATATTGTCTAGAATTGGTTTGAAATTTATATTGAAGATGTCAATGTTTAAAATATGATTAAATAAATTCAATGTTAATTGTCTTGAACTTTTTTAAGTATGTGATATTTATAGATTGAATATATAGATTAAAAATCTTCTTTCCAAATATCAAAACATAAAAAAAGAACATGAACTACAGGAAACATGTTCCTATCGTTTTGTGTTATCATTGTAACTTCATCTTCATTTTCATCTGATCTAATCAAGCTTGATAGTAGATTCAAGAGCTTATGTGAAAGGATCATTAAATTATGTATTACATAATTTAATGATGCAACTATGTTACCAGAAAATTTGAAATAAAATCATATTTCCTTGGCAATCTTGTCAAAATGTGTACTTTTATAATTTTGGAAGTAACACACTTTTATAAAATGCAAGCAAGTTGTAAATCTTTACATTACGATTTCACCTTGATGTATCTTTGAAATGTATGAAATTTTTTTGAATGTAAGATATTTTTTCAAATAATCGGAAATAGTTAGCGATGTTTCACCATGAAGCTAATAATAATAGTAATTCTTAGCTTTATTATAAAAATATATTTATTTTGTATACAAAATGATTCATAATTAAAGCGTAATTTAAACCCGCGTGTTTTAATGCATACTGTCTATATTAACCCTCTTATGCACATTGATAGATTTTTTCTTAAACATGCATTATGTGGAGATATTTTTCAATGAAAAATATACCATATTGTTATTTACATTCATTTATTCACATCTAACTTGAGATGGATGAATCACAAAAAGTGACATGTAAAAGTTTCAAAATTATAGATTCATATAAATTTCTTTAATATGTAGATGCTCAAATGAAAGGGAATAAACTTGAATGATTTATGTATGTGATATATACATACGCAAAAAGGATGAATCATTCAAGTGAAACATAATCAATCTGATTCTATATTCACTAAATAAAAATGTTGGAAAACCCATTTTTTATGTAAATTATGATGACCTATTGTATGGTTGAAATTCATATTGTTCACATACCCTTCCACCTTATAATTTGGTGGATTTTAAACTACCTGATTCATACTTCATGATCAAAATACGAGAAAAGATATAAAAGAAAAAGGGAAAATTTATATAAATTAAATAAATTATCAATAATTATTGATAATTACTATCAATTGGAAATAAGATTTTATATACAATTTAAATGTATTTGATTTAATAAATATGTGACATTACACCTGACAATAGCATATAACGTTATCAGAATGTTTGTTCTAATATTTTGATTTATAGATTATAACACATTTGTGTGTCAATTATTTTAAAATTTGCTTATAGAAACTGAAGGAACAAATGTAATGTTTGTGTGTTCCTTATAATATTTAAAATATAACAATTGAATATGGATCTTAGCGGGAGTTTTGTCCATTGCTGACACGTAAAGCCATCAACTTAGATATTGTATCCGTGTCGTACAGTTCCAATGTCAAAACCCCACTCTTGACCTTCGATTTCATTTTCAGTTTGAAATTGAATATCGAATTTTTAAGTACGTTCACTAAAACTTTTGGCTGATAAATGAAAAAATCACTAAACCAATGTACCTTCCATTGTCCACAGGTCATTTCAACAAGCACTCAAACGTAAAAATAATTAGGGTCAGCATTATTATTATTCGTGTTTGATATTGATTGCACTGGTGAATATTAAGCAACACATATCGATTAAATAACGAGAACCGAAATATCGCTAAAAAAATGATTTGTGCCTTCAAATTGGATATATGCTTGCAGAATATCTGGTGGAAAACTCAATACCTACAAGATGCGTTACATAAATGATAGGTTGCGTCGGACGTGTGCCTGCCAGCAGAGGCTCTAGAGCTATGAGCCGGCGGACTAATGGAGGGCGCAAGAAGTTCATACGGGCCGTCGGTCGGTCGGTCGAAAGAAGACCCGTTAGGGTCCAGTCTGTCGCCATTCATGTCAGCCTTAACGACCATGTGATGAACGGAAAGTTCAACCTGGCTCCCACGTGAAGATGCTGTTTTACAACACGTACGGAAAACACATCCAGAGGCTAGAGTCCAAACCTACGAAAGGAGCCCTAAGATTCTCCACGGCCTTTGACGTTTGGATCAGCCTCCGAGACAGCCGAATTAGAGCGATTCTTGAAACACCTCCAGTCTCCTGCCGGATAATCTTGAGGTTAGTTTAGCGACTAAACCACCTCACACGGCCGCCGATTACTCGAAACCGACGGTCACACCGACCTAACCTCCCGGTAATCAGAACCCTCCCCTCTCGCACGTAAAGGGAAACTTTACGTGACCAGGTATCCGCACTCCAAGTTGCTCCAAATCAGGCCGAGCCGAGTTTAAATTAGCCGTGACTAGCGCGCCCCTTCCTAAGGGGTATATTATTTCCATCGTCGGATTCCGCATCTGACGGTACAGAACGAGAAAGGAACGCTAAATTCACGTGTCGCAGTAGAAGAAGGAAATGGCGTCGTCGCGTCAACTTGTCGGAGTCTCGACATGTAGGAGTCAAAGTTCGTCGGGGCAATAGCAGCCTGTTTGGCTGGGAGCCATGTCACATCCTGTCCAATAGCGAGAGAAGGGCCGGATATAGTAGGGGCGGACTGGCCGAACTGACCTTACTTGCCGTTGAAGCTGTCGTCGTCTACTAGCCTGGGCTAGGAACAGCGAGGACAGGGGAGAGTACAGACAGAGAGGACAGTGGACAGGCACTCACTGATGAAGGGGTGACAGGCTCGAGGCCGCAGCAGGGCAGAGAGGGAGCTGCGCTGCAGTCCAGTACTAGCTAGCCGAGAAGGAGACAACAGCGACGAGGCGAGGCGAGCAGAGGAGACGAGCGCAGGCGAGTGCAGAGGAGAGGTTTGATTTTGAAGGGGATTCCTCTCCGATCTCCCTCGCTGCCTGCCTCGCTTCCTCCTGGCTGGCTGGCTGGGGCTGGTCTGGCTGGCTGAGCCTCCCCATCGGTAACTTTTACTCATGGACCCAGCCGCAGTAGAAGAAATCCTTTTTGGCCAGCCTCTGGATGCCGCTATCCCTTCACCTTCCGCAAGATATATTAGGGCCTGGTTCCGAGGTGGGAGTAGAATCCTTCTCGAGTATTACAGCGTCCTTGAATTTGCGAGAGTATGCTTCCCTCGCATTCTCATTTCCTCTCGAGAAGCGGCTGCTGCTCCTTCGCCTTGCAAGAATAAGTGTTGATTTGAACTCGTCTGCTCGCTGCTCGTCCCAGTGCAGGATTCACGTTTGCGACGAGTGGTTCAGTTCTCTCTCGTTCATCAACAATGGCTCTCTCTGTGGTCGCACTCAGAAATCTTGCGGTCCTGGCCTTGGTATTGCTCCTCTCGGCAAGCATGGAGAGGAGTGGCGTGGCCGCGCAGGCGGACGCCCCTGCGCCCGCTCCGGAGCCAGGATCAGGCGTAGGATCCATTCTGCCGTCGCTCGTTGCTCCTGCATTGGTTTCGCTTCTGTCTTTTCTGGCTGTCAAGAACTTGTGAGGCCGCCGGCTGGGACTGACATGCAACAACAACATCAACGACAAATCACAGCAACCAGCTGAAAGGTCGCGGACAGAGAGTTACCTGAAACTTTGGAGAAGGGCAGAGGGAAGGTCATCCAGGAAAGGATGCCATGACTCCGTGTACACTACTACGTCTTTTCGCTTCAACAAATTGTGTCGAAGCTCAGTATTCAAGATTGGGGTTTGATTGGCTCATTGGTCAAATCATTGATGTCGTTTTTTTACGACGATGGCGAAGCATTCGAAATGGAGGACGAGATGTTTTTTTTCTTCAAATCTGTCGTCCGAGGCTATATTTCTGAGCGTAGGTAGAGAGTAGTGTAGGTTAGATTAGTGGTTTTTTATTCGCTCAGCATCATGTTGTCGATTATAACGGAAGGAGTACTGTAAAACGTCGCTTGTGGGTTTAATTATTCTTCCATACGAAATAATAAATCGTCCCAGACGGGACTTGATACACATTGCGCACTGTTTACATTTTCGACTCTGCTGCTTCGCTGCGTCCCACTTCCAGGCCTAAAAGTACGTCTTCTCACGAAGAGCTTGGAACCACCAATTTGGCTGCGATTCGGCGTGAGTATCAGATGTTCTTGCCGAGAAAACCACAGAGTTCAAGACTTTCAAATATTTGCGCTTCGGCGTAACTTTCGGATGTTCTCGCCGATTCATCCTTACTGTACTTGACGTAGACAACAGTTTCCTGCTCTCCGGTCTAGCAGCGCTGAAACTCCTTCACTCAAATTGCGGTTCTTGTCGTGGAGGTTGCGCAATCTCCTCTGTACCCTTTCGACGAACGATGTAATGCCTAGATCTCGCAGCGGCATTTCCACGTGAAGGATCTAAGATAGTGGCCGCTAAAGAGTCTTTGAACAAGCGTCTACCGCCAGACAATATGTCTTACTCATTATTGTTTTCGTAGAAGACCGCTAGAACACTCTGCAGTGGAGTGACGAAAGTAGATCGTTACTGCGCTGATCAATTCACAGAAAGCCGAAATGTTGGCAGAGAAATGTCGGAGTATGTCATCCACTGAAGTTAGCTGAAAAGTTAAGGTACGCGGAAAAGCGGAAAGATAGCTACCGACAAACAGTGATGATCGTCAACTGCTGAAAGAACGACATACATTCTTTGGCGATCGTGATTTGTGTTTCCAAAAGTTTCATAGTCTGATATGTTTTACGAACGTCCAATTTGAACTGACAACTGGTTGGTGATGAAAAGTAACGATCATTTGAGCTCCTTAGGGGTCAGTTCGAGACCAGTTTCCCAACTCTGATGAGCTGTAATTCCACCGTTATCTCATAATTCCGTGATTCGCTGGTTCCATCAATCTTTGCTTCAGGAATTTTATTGCATCCCTCGATTGCATCCCGTTGGAGACAAGCGTAGTCTGCAAGTGTTTCATAATGAAGAATGTAAGCACGGCGGTGACGATTGGCACGATGTGAGATGGTAGCAGGCTTAATCCATGACATGCGCCTTCGGGAGCAGGTGCTAGTGCAGAAGTGACAGCATACGATCTTTCCAAAATCGTCAAGAGCAAAAGCACAAGCAGAGCAGAGACAGTTGTGCAGGTCATGCTAGACCTCATGATGAATGACTTTTTGAAGTCCGTCGATAAGAGTGTATATGCAAATCGTACACTGTCACACAGGAGAGACAAGACACTCTAAAGGTGATGATGGCTTTTCGGATAGAGAGGGGAAATTCGAAGGAAGATGTTGGTGGAAACAAAAAATTTCCAGAAACTTTGTACCTCATCTAGAGCGGTCTGAATGTGTGCCTGCTGTTTCCTAAAACAGCAGTTCACAGTGCCATTACAAGTCGAGCCCATGCTTCAGTTCTTTGAAGAGTGTTAACTGCACTCTAGACAAATAGACAGATAGCTCGTTCTTGCTCCTAGCATGACAATGCAGCTATATGCTACGGCATCCTGAGTAAACTGTTAACAAGAAACAGGAGCGAAATGCACTTCTTGCCCGTCTTGCAGCCTTCTTGACTTTTGCTCATTCTCATAAGAACCGCTGCTTACACCGCTGCTTCTAGGATCGAGGTTCGTAGAATTTTCATTGAAGTGGTCATTCGCGTGTAAATTTCCTTACTCGTTACACGCTCCGTAAGCCTCGATCGCGACGGTGCAAAATCAGTGGTCAAGTGGGGAGGGTGCTCCAAAATTCGACAACAGGAATATGAAGGACGATAGTTTGTCACCAAATCAACTGGAGATTTCTGCCATTTGATCTTGTATCGAAGTCTGTGCTACCCTTACCTGCGGCTAATTGCACGCCGATTGTAAAAGGTTCCCCTAGATCGCCACGGGACTAGGAGTGGATTTACGCTCGGGTAGTGTGCTTTAATTTTGACAAAGAGTGCTTTAGTTTTGACAAAGAATCAGGGCGGCTAGCATACAGCTGGTAAGCCCCTACAAACCACACCCACTCCACCAAAGTATACATTGGTACTGGAGAGGGCGTTAAAGAAAAAGTGGTAATTTTGGAGGAGCCCTGCAGTGCTACATGTTCCTGCGCTGTATACGGTATGCCCTGATGTCAGCTGTGAATCTTTACAGCCCCTTGCATGGTGCCATCTGTACTTCAAATCTATCACGCATTCGAGCACCACGGAAGCTCCCGATGAACGGGCTTTGCGGTTGTGCCCAAAAGATCTGTCGCTGCTGAGGATCTTGGACTGACAGGATTCTCCGTCACCCGTAGCGCCAATGACAAAGAGAAGCGGTTCTCGCCTCAATATTAATCAGAAACCTTGAAGGAGGTATTTCATTCCGTATGGATAATTATAAAGAATTCTTGCATGTTCGGATAATCAAAGACATCTACTACAGGATATATTGAGAATGAATTTGGTAGAGTCGAGATGAAAGCTGAAATAGTACATGTTGTGGTTGAAAAAAATATTTCTTTTAAAGTTGTTGCTCACGGACAGCTTTGCGCCGAGCACTTCGCACCTTCCTTTGACAAGATTCACTATTCCTTAGACGTCCACGTACCGTTATGGACTTGTGAGGCGTCCTAATGAGTAACCTAGAGAATATACATCTTGTATCAGATGAACAATCCGATGGTTACGTCACATTACGTGGTGAGAGATACTTAGATTTATTCTTGTGTAGTGATAGTCACAAGCAACAGTATACAAACATGTTCGAGAATAGAAAAGTATTCTAAGATATGATTGAAAAAGTTAATACATACATATACATTTCTATATCGTAGAATGATAATAATCATACAATTGTTACTCAATTTCAAAGATATTCTTATATATAAAGAATATATGATTGAATCATTTGTATTGAATAACATTAAACTTGTCTTATGTATTCTTAAAGCTTAATTTTAAAATGATGTGGTGAAAGATTCAAACCTTCATCATATAAACTTGAGTTGTATATAAGTGACGCGTGATCCTCTGGTGTGATCAACTATATGGTTCTCATCAATGCGATCATTTGGTTTTCATATTATACATAATTGTTTATTTTTGAAGTTCATCCAAGTGTGAAAAAATCATTCATATATATATATATATATTTAAAGAACATGTTCCACACTTCTATAAGTTTTTTTTTCATTTTCTTGAATTTTAATATACATACATGTTGATTGCAGTATGTTAAATACTGATTAATATTTTTTTTATAAAATTTAAGGTAAATTTGAATTAATTGAAGTTTAAAAAATATTTATTTATTTATTTTTATTAGCAGTAAAATTTTAATCATTGACATAGAATTTTTAAAAGTTGGAAATTAAGTCTCTTTATTTAGTAGTTGAGATGTTAAGTTAATTATAAACCTCTACATTGAAATTTAAGATAATTTCTTAAAATTTAAATTCAAGAAAGGAAATATACGTAATGAATTTTATTTAAGGTTTAAGAAATGTTTACAAAAATTTAAATATCTAGTTCAACTTATTGTTATGTTTAAAGTACAATATATATCTACTGAAGTTGTTTTGAACAAAGAATCATAAATTGAGATAGATGTACATAGCGAAGATAAAAAAATAGTTAAATTCAGAATTTCTTCCAAACTGATGTGATCTTTTTCTAATCTGTTGATTTTTTAAACAATATTTCAAAAGTTAAATTTAAAATGTGTGATGATTTCACATTCTTTTAATTTGCATTTCATCTTGTGTTACACTGTGAAAAACTCATTATTCAAATGGGAAAAAAATCATATAATTTTTGTATTTATTATAAGTTAATTGTTAATGAATCTTGAGCAATTTATAAGGATCCAGTAATTGAATAACATTATATTTATGATATAAGGTCGAACGCTGAGCCGTCGCTGGTCAGTCGTCCGGTCGATTGTGCATCAATTGATGCAATTATTTTTTTCTAGCGTTCCGGTACCATTCTAAAAAAAGGGAAAATGGGGGGCTATTGGAAGCGGAGGTGAAATAGATAATATAGCCAATTGCAGCCGACACTCCGGAGGTCCAAATTATTGACAAAACATTGACCATTTGAAAGGAGCTAGAAACGACGGGGGCACCGAGGAATATAGCAAAAATGGTGAGAAGACCCCATCAAGTGGTACAGGAACCAGAAGCGGACATGGATGGACATAGAGATGTCCTGTACTATTATGTCGGTGTTGAGAGATTACAAGCTCGCTATCTCTGTCTAGGAGCTGCGTAATCACAATCATTTCTGCATGCGTCAGATCGGGCCCAAACGTGAGAGGTTCGACACGCATTCTTCGTGAGCGTGAAGCAGCATATAGCCATGTGAGGAGGACAAACTTTGTAAGGTGACGTTCAGTTCGAGCTTGCCTGACTGAATTTGAATGCGTGATTCTACAACGCAGGCTTTATAACTGTATGGTTTTGGCTTTTTCCATCTGTTGCTAGCGAGTCGACGAGAAGGGTGCCGAGGACATACTCATTGCATTCGAAGGAATGAATGAATGACATCACGTAAAGTTCAAATGTCCAGCGTTCGAGGTGATGATGACTCACAGTTTGCAACTCTATTCTAAGTGTGTCGGTACTTGCAGCTAGAATCTAAGATGCCGCTAGAGAACATTCCATCCATAGGCTGCACATCACGTTCGTCGACCACCGTCTGAAGCGTATCATGGACTGGCGAGACAAAGTATGTCCATATATGATGATTTGACATTGTTCACGAGGTCAGATACTTTCCAGTGTGAGCTGTAGAACCGAAGTCCTAGCGATGACAGATATTTCGTTGGCGCCATCGGGCATTCCAAGTTCTAACTTAGCAAGCCTCTGAGTGTTAAGACACATGGATAGTGCAACTTCCCGCGTCTGTCTGTCGCTGGGGGTAGAGGTGTACCAGTCAAGAGCAGCAGGTACTGGGAAGCGACGGTCTAAATTTTTAGAAACATTTACCATGGAAAACGTGTGGAGAATTTTTCAAACGGAGCTTTGGAGTCACAATCCAGGACTCTCTTCTTTAGCTGTACCGCGGAGACCTGACTGGCAGCGCTCGTTCTTTTCTGTAAATTTAACATCCTTGTAGGGCCCGCCCACCTTACCTGCCATCACTCCCACAGTTTGCCCACGGCGTAAGGTATGCGGGAGGTATTAATGGAAGGAAACTGTCCACAACGTTCGAAGATGAAAAGGTCATGTAGTCAAGCAAAATATAAGAGCAAATTCTAATCACTAGGACATTCACTCGTAGTACATGGTTTCACTGTGCCAATCTGGGTTATACGCATTGAAACTGGCCTCCTTTCTTAACGATAGATTTGAAACTGATTTCTGTCTTTCCGATCCAAAACTTTTTAGTCTGTGTCTTTGTGCGTAAATTAAGGCCATAAGAATGACTTCAGCCCTCAAGAGCAGCTTGGTGCTCGTGGTTATGCTGGTCATCGCGGGAATGGGGATCCGAGGATCATGCGCTGAAGATTTGGCACCTGCCCCAGCACCTGAAGGTGTTCCTGAAAGTCATGCGGGAGCTTGGGGCCCTCTCTGGCTGCTCCCGCATTGCTGACTATCCTCTCATTCCTGGCACTGGGACAATTTTGCCCAACAATACAGTTGACTTGAAATTCATCGTCGTCTACATAAATTCTGAAGTTTGCCATCTTGCGAAAAAAGGGTGGCATTCTATTTCGGATCCAGGAGACTAAGCAAACGCACCACAGTCGCTGGCAGGAAGAATTCGAGAGCCAAAGGCGCCTTCCGAAGCTGATGAGATCCACATCTGAGCCAATGAAACCAAAGCTGATTACGAAGCGCCCGCCGATGGTGGAGGGCCCGAATTAAGATTCGAGGGGCTGTACAACTTCCAAATCAGGAGATGGGGACTGAACATGTGTACATGTCGGAGCTGAGCTTCAAGCCTATAGAGAGGTTCATTTGACTCTTCTGACTCGGACGAGGTCAATTTCTTCGTAGTGGGGCTGTGGTGAGGAGCTTTGGGTCTGTCGCCCTTTATTATAATTCAAGTTTCTGACTACATTCTAGTTGAAGTGAAGACAAAATCATTCTTTGATTAGCCCTTTCTAAAGTTCTAAAGCCCTTTCTAGATTTTGGTGGGAGAACGATTTCGCTACCCGCGTTTAAAACCTGTAACACATTTCGATCATGAATGCACGCGCTGTTACTCTTTTTCTAGTTCTTTCGCATGCATTGGAGTCTTCAATAAGCGTTGTCTACGTACTTTAATACCTGTTGCCCATCTCCCGATTATCCATGTTACCCCCATTTAGTACCATATTTGAACTACTTGATCGTAGGGTATCGCCAACTTTTTCCGTTATTACTTGGTTTCTAGACTTTCTAGGTAATAATCATATTTTCAGAAGATTCACAAGCGGTAAAGTTCCGTAATTATTGAAGAGATAATAATCGTGACCAACGTTTAAGTCTGACGGGGGCCTAGTAACAAAGGTTTGATGGTATTTTGGCGTCAAGCATCATGAGGATGTAAAGAAACAGTCAGCCAAAGATTTAGCATATAACATCCAAATTTGAAATTATGATAATCATATGCTATGAAAGTAATTATTCTAATATAAAGATTGTTCATTTTTATCGGCGGCAAATAATGACATAAGGAGATTACTGAAAACACATTGTATTCAATATGTTATAGAAAAAACTTGAAGTCTACTTGGATAGGGCTTTTTTTTTTTTTCTTATGAAAGTGTCAAAGTATGTTCTCATAATCTATGTAAATAGAACATGAGTAACATGTTCAACGTGTCATAATATTACTATACCTTGATGTCTCAATACATTTTTAGATAATCAAAAAATAAGATCATTAATTCCATGACCTTCGTATCGTGTGTCAAGTCAAATTCATCGTGTTGAAAAAAACCTGTTATTCTTATGATTAAATGAAATATTCATTACACTCAACCTGCTCCATTTAAAGCATACAAATATTCCTTACATATGATTTTTTCACCCAAACCAACATTACATCACTAATTTCCTAGTTTGTCCAAACCTTCATGCCATATGATGTATTCAACGATACAAACACCACATCATCAATTTCCTTATGACTATAAACATTCCTTTCATACTATGTATTCACCCAAACCAGCTTTACATCACCAATTTCCATTATAAACACAAAAGTTCATTTCATTTGATATATTATACCAAATTTATTCCACATCACTACGGTCAATTTAACTTTTTATACTCCTTTGTTGAAACAAGCTAAAAGTTAAATGAACACACGATTGCTTCTTGTATGCAATGTGTATATCTAACCAAAAATCACATCTTTAATCACGCGATGAATAATTATCTTCTATCTTTCTAATTCACAATATTTATGTGAATAATTTTTTGTTTTAATACCAACACATTTCAATATGAAAAAAATATGTAAATATATACAGTTAGTCGGCGTATATATTCAACATTGTATAGTTGGTAATCAATGCATATTGGAAAATTCTAGCACATACTTCAAGATCTAAAATAAAAAATCTATATTTGATAAATTAAGAGCATAAATAGTCTTTATATTACAAAAAATGATTACATATACCGATGTTAATATGTTTATATAGCATTCAAGTTAATTTTAAGTGTTCGTGAATGAATGTAACCTTTTAATTAAATTATTGTTCCAAATTTTTTTTAGCCCTTGTGATGTTTTGAACTCTAAAACGTATCTTATAATGTATACAAAGCTAATGTATTCTTGTAATTGAATATTTTGCAAATATTCTACAATTATGGAGAGATTTGCTTGATGGGACCCCTGCGGAAAGTAATTTGCTTGATGAGACCCCTCAGTTTTAGTTTTACCTGATGGGATCCAACGACGGTGTGACGTCGTACATAGTTCTTGTAATTACAGTTACTATTAGTTACAATGTTATCAGAGTTATCAGAGATCAATCCCTGATTATAATTTCTGGTGGATTATCATGAGGACAAAGATCGATTTTGCTCGAAGTGCAATTTGTTGTGCATCAATTCTTCCGATCGCATCGATTTCTCTGCTGCTTCCCACCTAAACCCTCTTTCCGTAACCCTGTGTATGCGACGAGGAGCTCGTACCGGAAAGTGGTCCGAGTTCAAGTCTCGCGATTACCCATGTGTAGCGAACAAATAAACTCCGGATGAACATTTCTTTGCTCGTCACCCGGGGGAGTGGCTGGATACAGAATTACAACATAAAAACAAGTGAGTGTGATGGAGGGCGAAGTCCACTCTGTCCGCAGTTGCGGTTGATTCGTTGCACTCTCTCTAGTTGTTATTAGAACATGAGTGACGGTGCATCGTTCATGGATCCCATTGGGTAAAATGAAACCTGAAGGGTCACATCAAACAAATTACTTTCTGCAGGGGTCCTATCAAGCAAATCTCTCTACAATTATGATATGTTTTTCACCATCAGAAATTGAGAAGATAATGAAATTAAGAAGACATTTTTATTGATTAAAATAGCTACATATGATCTCTCATTTGTCTTTGTCTTCATAAGTTCAAGTTGTAGTAAAGAAGTATAATTTTTTTTCAATCAAAGTATATCAGTATTATTAAATAAATGAAGTCTCTACTATTAACTGATGTAGAGAAGACTAAACCATCATAAAATGTAGCGCAATTTACTAATTCTGTATTTTTATTTTCTTATCAACATTTTTTAACGGAACTACTATTTTACCAAAGAAGTAATAAAAGATTGAAATATATATGTAATTTAATATATATGAAATATAATGTAGATTGAAATATTAATGTAAGCAATCGAAGTTGACAAGTAGATGATAAAACAACTGTGACAATGGAAGTTAATATTCAATCTGCGAAACATGCAGATTGAATTTGGCTCGAATTTAACAAAACACTCTCCATATATGGAGAACTAAATCCTTCCGAATCTTTAACCTAAACGAAGAATAGTAAGGCAGGGTACGCTTCATTTATCTGACACTTACGGTACGAAGGCTTTCCTACCCTTGGCAGAGCGTGGTTCTCCAACATCAAAGTAGCAGTTCAACTCGCAACATGGTCAAAAAAGATAGAATGGAAGCTGAGGAGTTTCTACGCCCACCAGCTAAATTTAGCTGTCCGACAACTGGATCTCCACCAATGTTCCCGCAAATTAGCTACCCATTTGTTTTGCTAGTGGCTGCTCCATTTCTTCCTGTGAAGAACCTTACTGCTACTGTATCTGACCACTGTCCTCCAGCAAGACTTCTGCAGTCTGACTTCAGGGCGCTGCGGCCGGCCGACCGACCAGATTCTGTCGATGAAGAATCATGTGTGACATGTGGAACGAGATTAAACGTCGCTGTGACTATGTTTCATTTGATTCTGTCTAGTGCAACAGTAATCGATCGATGTTTGAACGAGCTGTTACAGGATGTTTTGCAACGAGATCGTGAAATTGCTTTGAGTTGGGCATGTCATATGAAGATCAAAACAGGCAATTTGCAATGTTCTTGGAAAGAACGAGTGCGTTCGGAAGAACAATGCATCGATACTTCCCTCCACTCTGTGCACAACTCAGTATACTGACGTTTGTTGCTGTCCTGCATTCGAAGAGAGGAGAAAGGGTATCGTTTTCTTTCATATTGACGCAGATGACAACAGAAGTAGCTGAGGCAACCTTCCTCTGGTTCTGTTTACATCTCTAAAACAGAGAGGTGACACTTGCTTGAGTAATAAAAGCATGTATTTCCTCCAGCTTCCTCTCATCTGCAGCACGACAATTAAACACGTACACTAGAGAGATTCATCTTGCTTCAAGATATTCGTAACTTTGCAGATATATTCTAAATTACTAGGCACACTTAAACCATTGAAAAAACGCCGACTGTGTTTAACAAAAAGACTCTGCTATGCAGCAGAAATTGTTTTATTAGCCGTATACGGCAAATGTAAAGCAACAACAGATAGGCACGATTGAGAGTTCTGCGTGGGAGTTCGTGTAACTTCCGTTCGGCAGCTCCTATTGTTGCTCGAAATATCAAAATCTATACTGCACTCTACTTCAATACTGGCAGCTGAGAAAAAAATGAGTTTCCCGGAGTCGCATCACCAACTTGATGCGACAGTAGATAATCCTCCACTGTGATGACTATTGGGGAAGAATGGCTTCCCGCCTCGATCGAATTTAACTCCATAGCTGTATACAAATTTACACACTTCCGGTCGTTGTGACCGCACGTCCGGCATTCCACTTGACAAACCTACTGCCGACCAGCCAGGAATGAAAGAACGATCATAACAACTGGAGCAACAAAACTGGGTAGAACCAATCCAGCTGCGCTGTCCGGTGTCACTGGTGCGGGGGCGGGCGCGAATGCGTCCTCCTGTGCTCGGACACCGCTGCTCTCCATGCTCACGAAGAGCAACATACACAAAACCAGCACCAATCCGCTTCTCACGGCAGCATTCATGCTTGAGGCCATCTTGATAAAATCTGACGAAAGAGCGAGAAGAAGCTGTTTCTAGCCTCGCGCTTCTACGTGAACGAGCTGGAACGCCAATCGACTGTTGCGCAGAGCAATCTGATCACGAAGAAAGAGAAGGTCAGAGGCAATGCTCGTCACTGGTGGATCGATGAGCGTTGGAAGAGAATTGTTATCGTCGGTCCAGACTTGAAAAGCAGAACACTGAAGTCGAGAGAAGACCGAGCGGAGAAGAGGATGACTGAGTGAACTGCAGAATGAAGGCGTGTCACAAATGAATATATAAGCAGAAGCTACGGGTACCTAGAGCGAACGGTGCACTGTGGGCAAAGGAGGAACAGAGCCGGACGTTGCATCGCTCGCTCGCCGGTAGCTCGGCGGCAGCTTTCCTGTGGACCCGGTCGGAGTCCACCGGTAGTCAAGTCCCGATGAAATTCCTCAGCGTCACGCGTGCTTGCAGACCGTCCCTACTTTAGAAGATCTCTATTTTCGCACTAATGGGAAACTCGCACGGCGGAAGACGTCGATGCTTTCCATCGGTCTCCTTTCCTTTCCTTTCCGTCGCAGGCAAACAAGACACGAAACTGCAGGTTCCGCGCAAAGGGAAATATTCCTCCCCTTGACCCGTTCATTTTCTTCAGCTCCACATTTCCCATTCCTGCCCCGTCGCCAAGTGTTGCCCTTGTTACCGTAGCACAGCGCTGAGCGCGCGTGCTAGATCGTTGTCCTGTGAGCCGTACCGCTGGAACGTCCGCCTCCAGAAACGGCATATATATGTTATCATCGCTCATTGGTCCGGCCGTCTGCCCCATTCCGAAGTCCCACTGTCATACAGTATTCGTACTCGTACTCGTATAGATCCAGATAGCATCGTTCCTTCGACGCACCGGATTATGACAGTTTTTCTGTAATAATTCCAGATAAGCACATAATAAAATACTAGAATGCGAACGAGGAAGCCAATTCTTCTTTCTATAATTTAGCTGCGCAGGGAGTGTTAACGTCCAAATTTGAAGGTTCCATGAATCCGGGATGTGTTGTAAATTACTCTCTTCTAAACTCATGGAGGAAAACTTAAAAAGTCAATGTAGGATCACGTAAAAGACTCCGTACACTGATGCATAAAGATAGTGTGCATTGTAAAAGAAATCACGCGTCCTGGTTTGAATTTGTTGGGTGTTGTATACATTCTTACAAGGTTTGAATTCCTCATAACTAGCTTAAAAATTCCTCTGTTTTTATTTCATACTTCAGCTTTAGCATTGTATCAATATTCTCTCATGGTGATATGTTGAGAAACCAAATATTGGAATCTCTCAAGGGAACTTGGGTATTGTAATATACCAATACTGACGGAAAGGACCCATGAGTGAACATGGGGCTAGCTCCAGTAAGAACATAGTGAAAAGTAAAGCACTTTGTTTTTAAGATGTTTCAATAATCTACCGACAACGCAGTATCCTAAACATGATTGCAGTACTAGTTCTATGTATGGAACAAAGGCTTCAGCCCTTGTTCCTTGTTAAATACCTAAAGAGGTGGAAATTCTGGCCGTCTGTGTTGTAGTTTTATAGTAACTGCGGATGTAACGAACAGAGACATCTTTTACTTCAAACCGGAGCAAACAACCGGCCGGTAAGAAAGATAGCGGAAAAAGAAACGCATCCTTCGATCTTGTTCCACGTCACTTGTTCGTCTCGTGGATCTAAGTCAAGGGATTGAGTTGAAGCACGCCGAAGTACAGTATGGATTCACTGTACGGCGATCTCAATGATACGCACGTATGAATACGGGCATAATAGTTGGTGGTCGTACATGATACGTTAACAGTATGATGTACTTTACAGTGGAGTTCGCGCAGGGCATGTACTGGCTTCTATGGTGATGGCCAGTTCACGGAGGGACGGGAGGGAGATAGCCGTTGGGAGGGGGGGGGCTTCATCATCTGGTCGATTGGTGAAATTTGGTGGCATGTCTGGCCGCCATTTGGCACTAACCAAAAAGCAATTACTGCGTGAGACGAAAACTTACGGTACACGATGCTCCGATGGTCCATGAATCCCATCTCGTGCCGGCTGCACAGATGTGCGGTGCCGAGCGCGTAAGCGCGAACGACTTCGTCATGGAGGCCTTGGAAAGCTCAGAGTGGACTTGACACCTTCCGAGAATGTGACCACCTGGGTTTCTTTGATAGAGAGATTTCCATAATCAGACTTGTGAGAAAAGAGTCCATTCACATTCTGCCGTATCGAAGATAAATATTGATATTTTGAAAGAGTGACATCTGGTAGCATTTCGCCGCCCTATATATTATGGTGTGTTATATTTGTACAATAATTTACTACACTTGGACGAGAACTCATAGTGATTGTAGTTGTCACGGGACTCGGGAGGTGAAGGGAAGGATGGAGGTCTCGATGGAGACGATTGAAAACCTAAAAGTAGTAAATGCGGATATAATATATTTAATGGAGGACGATCAGTACACTCGTACTTTCATAGAGTTGCAATCCGACGCTAGCTGTGCGTCGCGCGAGCTGAACCTTACTTGCCGTTGAAGATGTCGTCCACCAGTACGCGCCGAGTCGAAAAGCATCAGGAGAGGAGAGGAGAGGAGAGGAAGGGAAGGGAAGGGAAGGGAAGGCCAGGGGAGGGACTCGGGGGGTACAGGACACGCAGCGGAGACCTGGCTTTCGTCGGTAGACAGCAAGAGTACCGACGGTGACGCGACAGGGGTACTAGCCGGTAGTACCTTCTCCGTCATCGGTAACTTTTGCACATGGATCCAACTGGCCCTTGTCTGGCCTGGCCTGGCCTTGCGGAACACTGCAACTCCGCTCACAGGTGAGATCCTGCTGTATAGGACTGTACCCGCACTCTTCAGTCGAAATATATATGGGCTCTGGCTCCCGATCAACCATAACGATCCCCTCGCCTTCTCACTCTCTCCACTCTTCTCCTCCTTCGCAGCTCTCCATCGTCCTCCGCCTACACCGAGTTCTCTCTCTACTCAATCAATCAATCTCGTGGAAGGCTGAATTGTCTTCGTAGTCGGGGCCGTCTGTTTCTGTTGTGCTACATTTCTTTAATTTCTCCAGGAAAATGGCATCTAACATGGGAGCTTTCGCCAAGATGATCATCGTCGCATTCTTGGCGATGCTCGTCCTCGTGAGCGTTGAGAACACCGGCGTGTACGCCCAAGAGGCACCTGCTCCAGGACCGGAAATGGGACCCGACTCTGCGAGCCCCGGCAGCCTGTTGATGTCTCTGGTTTACCCTGCAGTAGTGGCGATGTTGTCTTTCGCAGCTGCGAATGCTTTGTGAGCAGATGTAATGTCACAGATTTAAGGAGTTCCTCAATGGTCGGTAGCTCGGAAGTGCTGGTGCTTCCGTCATTGCTGTAAAATGGAATGTGAAATCCGACATAGTCGACGAAAGGAACGGAGGAACCTTTCTCTCTGGCGTTCAGGATGCAGTCACCGTGGCAAGTTCCATGATGAGCTGTCACTGATTGTTCTCAAGCTCGACTTTTGTTTCGACTATGGACTAGCTGAAGTTAACACACATTCTTTTCTCTCTCGGGAATTTCGAGATTCCACGGTGCCTGGTGAGCGTAACTTGTATTCTTCGTGGCAATCAGATGAAGCGGACATGGGCTTCCGAAGAGCGGGTCCGCTTCATCTGGAACTGGATTGGTTTCGTTCAGTTGACTCAACGTTGCGAGGGGATATGCAGACCGCACTTGAACATTGTTCTCTGTACTTGCCACGGGCGAAGCGATCGTTCGAGTCGACTCCACCCAGAGAGCATTGTGAAGCTGTGTCTGCAGGTTATTTGGCAGACCAGTTCTAGCAAATCTTGGTGGCCTGGAACGTGTCTTTGAAGGAGGCTCAGAAAGCAGGAGTGTCGAGTAGTGTGCGTGAGCTGCCTGTGGGGGGTTGAGACGGTGATGGTTCATGTAACATGTCGGGAACAGCACTACATTTTTCTTCAGATGCTTAGATAATTAGTCTGGATTGTACTAGGAACGTTCATAGTAGTCTAGTTACCATCATTTATTAGGTAGACTGTTAGCATTCGAAATGTAACAGCAGCCATTATTCTAACGAAACTCCTTCTGCATTGGAAGGGTGCTTTCCACAATAAATTTCTGTATATCATCCAACTATTTGACGGAGTAATTAAGTCGATTTTTCCACATCCTTACTGGATCTGTACAGCAGATTTGGCCATCCCGGATCTCAAGTTTCATAAGCTCTTTGCAAGATGAAGCTCATGAAAATATGTGTGAGCCTGCACAAGATGGATGTTTGATTGTATATCCTGGTTTATACAGTTGCATCATGCCCGTTACGTGAGTTCAAAGTAATGTTCGTCGTATTATCAAAAATTTCACACACCTAATCAAATCTTTTAAAGTTTGAATCTTCAAAAATTTATTTCATAAACGAACAGTGGATACAACAGAATAACTATCTAACTATACTTCAGTTATAACTGACTGCTTCATATACAAATTTCTCAACGTCCGCAGCCTCTATGGTGAGAAAGAAAATTATGGGTAAAAAGCACGAATGTTCCAAACACGAATCGAAAGTGAGTAACTACACTCATTCACTATCACTCCATTCAATGCCAAAAAAGATGAGCAGCTTCACTGTGGTTATCCATCCCACCATGCTAAACGCTGTTGATCTTAAGCTAAACAGCATCAAATAACATCCTCACAGCGAAAACTCACATGATCAAGCTTTACTACTTGACAGAAGGACTTGTTACACAAGGACCATCAGCGCATATCCCATTTCCCGATATTGTCAAAACCGTAACGAGGACGATTCTCACACTCTTGACCTACTCAAACTTCTCAGCCATCTACTCGAAGGCTCGTCAACAGAACTAAGCTTCTCGCTCGGCAGCAAGAGTGGAGAACGGCGAGGTTCCTTGAGCTCACTCTGATTTTCAAAACAGGAACTTGGAGCCTGCCACTGAGGATCGCTCAAAACAGCTCCTTCCTCAAATGTCATGATGTGCATGAACATACCTGAAAATGAAGAAAAAAGTCACAAGGAGGCAACGTCAGTTCCTCTTGATCTAACACCTAAGACACTTGTATCTGGAGAGAAGATCGTGCAAAAAAATTCTGTAGATTAGAACTGAAGCAGGATGCGTACCAGTGAAGAAAAGCCAAGCTACAGGTCTTTGAGTTTTGACGTCCTCGTAGTAAGTTATGAAGTCCTCCTTCTCCCAGACGTTGCAAGTGAAGCCATCGAGTTCTCGTACGCCGACGTAGTGGGCGTCTTCAAGAAAGTTAGGCCTCAGAATTCCAACTGGGAAGTTAATTCGATTACAGGTCTCATGCTCCAAATCAAAGTAGTAAGATGTTCCGTTATTCCACTCCACGTCCCAGATTTTATTACCAAGTTGGTGTTGGATGATATTTAAATTTCGTCCATTCACATGATCATACCACAAATCTATAATCGATTGTTCGCCCGCGGTGTTGTTCTGATATGACTGAGCATGAAACTGCAGAGGCCAAGTTTTGGGTATCGGATCCTTGGCTCCACAAGCTGAAGCCAGTAAGAAGCAGGTCAAGGCAGTCCGTAGAAAGACGTTCATCTGTTCCAAGTACGATATAATAAGTTCAAACTGAGAAGCCTGTATGCCAAACTGACAAGAATCAGGGAAACCTTATCTCGAAGCATGGACTCTCTCATCATGTTTCAGCTCTACCCATTCCACGTTGGCGTATGATTTGGAAAGGAAATCGATGACTCCCAAGAACCGCAGATGGTCAGAAACCCGACATCCCCCGACAACAGATATCAACAAGGTGCTTTCAATAATGTACACAAAGCGACTGTTGACGTCTACGTGATTATCCAGTGACAGCAAATCTAATCAGTCAAAGTTCGTGTACCTCGATTTGTGAAAACTCCTCAGCTTAACATCCTCACTTGACTCTACTAGGCTAAGGACAGGGATCAGTCAGCCGAAACCAATATAATCCCTTAAAGTCTTCAACGCTAAGTACCAGATGTCAGTAGCTGTGTAGCAATGTCAGGGGATCAGCTGTTCTGCATTCTGCTTGTTGAGGTATGACATTCTGTGTCACGGCTAATTCCTTGTCATTGCAGAAAGACTGACTTCAATCTTTGTGAATAGACCCAAGAAAAACCTAAGAGTCCCGCGCACAAACAAACGCCATTCTGCTCTGTAACTAGAGCCCAATTTCAATACTAAGAAAAATAGATGACAAGGGAGGTGACCAGCCAGCCACTCTACGGAACGAAGGAAGTGGCAACTGATGCCTTTTCAATAGAGCTCAATTGCAATACTGAGTATTATAGATGAAAAAGGAGGTGAGCAGCCACTCTACAGAACGAGGGACATTGATGCCATGTACTTAGAGATACATTGCAATACTGAGAGGAATAGATGAAAGGGGAGGTGACCAGCCCTACTACAGAACGAAGGACGTGAAAATTGATACGTGCGACTTGTAAATGTAACATACAATCGCACATGGATTCTAATACCGATTAAAATCCACAAACTTCTGTTCAAGTAATGTATTATTCTAATCGGCCTGAAACTCATCAACGCTCACTCCATGTGGACAGAAGCTTACTTAGAAGCTGACAATGTCAAACGACCTGGTGCATACAATGCAGAAGAAGGCAGAACAGGAGAACGTTCAGAACATGGCCATATCGAATTAGAACGACCGAGAAACAGAATATTTACCTTCATGGTTGAAATTCTGCAAAGTTCTCCGACTCGTACACGATTACAATGTAGACATGACGCGAACGCGGAGTGAAACCTTAAGCCTCGAAGGAGACAGCGAGGAAGTGAGACATTTATTAATTCGACAGGGAATATACCAGTCAGGTTGGACCTTATCTGATAGGCAGGCTTGCCATGTGGCATGTAGTTCCGACGAATGTCGCTCTTTTTGCTCAAACGACTGTCGGTTCTCGGAAACTTTTGTACGTCGAACGACGGCGCACTATGTTTTATAATTTCGCGCAGTTGGACCAAAGGGTACTGCGGATGCACTTTCGCGCACGACCCTCATCGGACATGACCAGACGAATGAGCGTTGCTTATTTTTTTGGTTTTTGTTTGTGTGTTTTGTAGTAACACTGTCTTTCAGGAAACTGCGGAGGAAGGTAGCATTTCTGTGTATATTTTGGTACGTTATCATTCTTATGTTGGGTTAATTATATTAATCACAGTATCTCAGTTGGAATTATGTTTGACGAGGATGTGGTGGGTCATTTCTCGCACATCATGAAGCAACTTTGTTGTGTGATGTACACTGTTCTGGTTTGAACCGATATGCAAAACCATCTAAAGTCTTCAATTCCATGACACAATAAAAAAAAGAAGAAGTTTGTTAGAATCAACCAGCCATCTGAACTTATTTTATTTTAATCACCAATGGTGGTATCTCATTTTTTTACAGGGTATCAAGAGAAATTCACATGCTTAACGTAACCTTGGCATCAAGCTTATGTCTTTTTTTTAAATGTTTTTTTGTGAAGTAATATATCGAAATAAAATACTATTCTTTTACGCAATGGAATAATGAAAAATTTAAAACACATTGTTTCTAACAAATTTTTGGTTGATATAGCATGTACTGTACATCGCTCTGTACTACATCTGCTGATAACTTCAAATATATGCTTTTCCACCATTGATCATAATATTTTTGATGCAAATAACCATGAGATTACTTTAGATTTAAAACGGTAAAATTAGCTAGAATTAGTTGCATTTGAACAAAAATCCCTAGACATTTCCAGCATTCATGACTCGTAGTTTTTGCTTTTGCAGTTATTTCACACTCCATTATTTTGTATAAATTGATCCAACTTACAGTTTGAAATGGTGGTTACAAGACATACTTTACCTCAAAATAAAATGTATTCACACCAACTAAAAATCTATGAAGCTAAATAGTTCTTTTTTAATTGAAATCTACTATGAAAGTTTATGTAAGATGCATTGTTATAAGACACTACAAAATTATTGAAACTCTCAATTGATTGTTTATAATAGTTTAAGTTCAAGCAATATTATGTATAACATATTTTCTAGTACATTAATTCTCATGCACTATTTCAATTTATATTGTATAATCATCCTATGGTTGAATTTATTATTACTTATGATACCATATCTTTCTACTTGAGTTTGTCAATTGTATTGAGGTTTTTCCTCATTTGAATATTCTCTAAGTATGAATTTTTTTAATCTTTATTTCACTCACATTAATCTTGCTTTGGTCCTTGAAGTTGAATAAATCCAAACAATGTTTTGTTGTGATAATACTGTAAATTTTTTATCATTGATTATCTTGACATATTTATTATTCTAGAGTCAATAAAAAAAAACTGAAGATTATAGTGTTTTGTTGTCACGCAATTACTAGGAGAAGATAATGACACACTTCATAGATGTAACTTAGATTAAACATGACTAGATCAATAGTTATTGCACCTTGTAGGATTTGAATAAACTTTGACACATCAAGATGATGATAAAACTAAAAGCATTTGAACTTTCTAAGACATAAAATATTGTTCAAATCTAGAGTTTTATTGGATGAATATGAAAAGCACATGGAGTTAAAAACAATGACATCCAAAATTTTGTTTTCTTGTGTAACATCTTTAGTTAGTTAGAACTAAAATTGAAGTTTCTCAAGATGAAAATAGAGATGATTTATATTGAATTATCTAAATGAGCTATCTCAACTATTTATATACTTGATAGATAAAAAGTAAATATGTTAGTTCATATTAACATTTGAACAATCCATATGCTGGTTAGGTTAGTATTGAATGTGATAGTTTTAAATAATAAGTCAAAGATATGTGTGCTTGTTAGGTGTATTTCTCATGTGATCAATGCATTTGAGGTAAAATGCATGATGAGTGTAATATTTTATTTTCTTGTAGATGTTGGAAAGATCTATATAAGAAAGTAAAAAATTACTCTAAACTTATCTCATTTTCAAATTTTATATTCATCTTCCAATGAGCAATTTTTTTAATCCTTAGTGTTATTACAATCAAGACAAATACATTCAACGTGTATTCATCTGATAGTCTAAAATGAAACCGTACAAACACGTGGAGATAATTTAACACAAATTGCAAGGGCAGAGTTGTATATTGCACGCGCGGTATATAACAAAGTTAGAACAAATCGAGCTTTATAGTATCTCATTTTCAGACACACGTAGCAAGCAAGCATTCAAGTGAAGAGATTAAACATTTGACAAATTTGATTGGCAGCAAAATTTGATATGAATTTCTTTGGCAGCAAAATTTCTGCAAATTAATGTACAATTGAAATTATTGAGAAAAAAACGTTATTACCATTTTATTGTAAGACAATTGGCATTATGTATCTAATAATTTACATAAGATATGATATTATTCTAGCTATGGATAATATGAGAATAAAATTTTCAAATTCAAATAGATTAAAAAAATGAAAAATAAAAAAACTCAAATGTCTTAAAAAATTAATAAAATTTTAATTGCCAATTTAATAGAAAATAAATTTTTTTACTTTGATTATGCTAAAGAAAATTAAAAAAATAAAATAAATTTACAACTAGATAATTACGTATATTTTAAGATGGATGTATTGATTGTATATGTAATTTTTGCATAATGACACAGTTTATTTTGATAACTTAAAAAAATCATAAGATTCAACAATATCAAAAAAGAAAAAAAAAATTTAAATTTTTTTTTTCCAAAAACTAAATTGATCAACATCTTGTTTTCATATCATTTCGTAAAATTTTTTATATAAAAAATATATTCTAGAATATTTTTAATTAACATTAAAAAAAATGACAGCAACAAATTTTTCTTCTATATAGACAAAAAGTGAATTTTTTCTCATTATTTTCATCCATTTTTATGCGTTGATTATCAGATTCAATTATATTCAAAGAAATTTTTTATAATCATGTTAATTAGACAGTGATTTAACTTGGATTTAAATATTTAAATTAAAATTTTCTAATGAATTTTATATTATTATTTGATTTACATATGTTGTAAATTTTATCTTGATAATTGTTAAAATAATATAATCATTTCATGAGATTTTTTACTTCTTTTAAGTGAGTGAAAAAAGAAATTTTTTTTGTTAAAATAACACAAGATAAGTAACAAAAAATTTGGCTTGACAAGATGATTGTGATAAAAAGTAGAAGAGTTGAATTTGACATTATTGAATAAAAAAAATTTGATGATTATTTTTCATGTAAAAATTTAAGTTAAATATAGATTAATATATTTGGTTTTAGGCACTATGTATGAATATTTTTTCAATGACATACAAAAGAAATTTACAAAGAAAAAAATGAGTATTATTCAATCACATTTACAACTTTGAATTTTAAATAAAACGGATACATAGAAGAATTGTCATTCAATATTTTTGAGGTGTTCCAGCAATACTTTCATGTCAAGAAATTGTCAAATAGTTGATAAATATTAAGTTGAAAATATTATACACAGAGATCCAAGATATCATATTGATGACTTAGTAATCTTATTTTTGTAAATCATGATTTTAAAGAGGAAATAAATGATGATTTAAGGTTCTTCATTGCTTAAATTGTTTTCATGCTTCAAATTATTTTTATCACAAATATTTGTTCATTTAAATTGAAAAATTATCATGTTAAATTATATGTAAAGTAATGATCTAGAATTATACGTAATAATCTAGAATTTTAATGATAAGTTCTTTTGCATCATTTCTTTCTATGACATAACATTCAATTTCACTTTTGATTGTCAAATTCATTGATATACAAAGATGTAAAGAATTTAAAATTTAGAACAGTTTCTATTCTATTGGTATGCTTAAAGATAAAATGAGAATATTTTTATTTAAAATATGTCAGGCATTATGTTTTTAAGAGAAACTATCATATAAAGATCAATACTTTTGAATTTTTTGGTTGATGAAACTGAAAATTTTGCTATTGAGGAGTATAATCTGCTCAAAGATGAAGCATAAAGCTACATGTAAGCGTTTAACATTTCATCAAAGTATGTTCATAATGTTCATAATTTGATTATTATTTGATTCTAGGACATTTTTTAAAAACTATATATGTATTTTTGCAAGTTTCAATATTTTAATTACTATGATAAAAATTGATCTCATATCAAAGATTATTTTTTTGATGAAATATAATTTATTTTAAGTCAAATAAAATTTATATTTCTTAAAATCAAATTTTTATATGTTAGAGTTGAAATGACTTAAATAGATATTAAAAGATTTATTTTGGATATGAAATTACAAGTACTTTGCATCTTTAAGAAAGTAAGATTTGTAATCTTTTTGAATAAATCAAAACTCAAACTTAGGTTATTTAAAAAGAGGATAAAGTTAACTTATAATGGGTTATTAAAAAATTGTCACATGCACAATCTTTATGTTTCTTTTTTTAAGATTGAATGTGATCATTTTGATGTACATGTTTTTTTGGCTTGTTATATCTATAAATTATGAAATTAATTCATTATAAGTTTATTAGACAATCAAAATGAAATTTTTCCTCATATTTCTTATTTTATATATGACTTATAATACCTAGATATATATATGAAAAAGTGAAATCACTGACTATCTCTAATTTTCAAAGGTTGTGATTCATCTTCAAATAAGATTTTTTTTATTCTATTATGCTACATCAATATAAGTTGATTATGATCGGGAATTTAGAAAAGTGCTATATCATAATCAAAACATATTGATATAATATTATGATTAATTAAAATGAACTTGCAAAATCTAAGTTTTAATGAGAACCAAACTACAATTATATACTTTTGTAGAGTATGTAATTGTGATTAAACAACATTAAATGATGATTAAACATGATCACATGTCTTAATTTTACACATAAATTTTTTTGAGTAAATTGTTACAGTTTTGTTTGCATGACTTTTTGCTTTACAATATTAATTGTAAAGCAGATTATAAATTTATTTTACTTCAAAGTCATCTAACTTATCTAGATCGTATTTATCAATCGAGTTCTCTGAGATGAAAGTGGCACTACACAATTACTACCATATTTTCATCCCTATAGAAGCAGTTTACCTTTCCATTTAAACTGCAAAATCTTTTGTAAAACTAAGTATTGCTTTTTGGCTATCAAAATGTCCACAATACGGATTGTACAAGAATAATTCTGGCCACCATGTATATCTTAGCTTGCTGTCAAATCTTTCTCATTTAAGTGTCAAATCTTCCAAAGTATCTCCACTTTTTTATATTACATGGGTCTCAAATGACAACATATTCAAGATTCAGGATGGCAGATGCATGTTAGTCTTCCATCATTTATTCATCGGTATCACCTTGCCATCAAGCTCCAATTTTGTCACCATGACTTACTTGTATATGAATTTTAATTTAACCCATCATTTACATCTCTGTTTATCACTATAGGCCTACTCACCATCGTAAAATGATACTTTTCTAAAATGAGAGCCTATCATATGAGTGTCCAAACATATCAAGAATTTTCATATTGTCACTTTTTACTCATATTGATGTCTAGTAGATGTTTTTGGAAGAGACAAAATTTGTCAATGATAATGCAGTAGCCAACCTGTTCTCTAAATATAATTATACTCTAGTCATGCGCACTATATGGATTTAGGGTTTGGGTTTGTAGTCAGCCATAGCTTTTGGGTTAGTTTAAAAGTAGAGGGTGTGATGGTTTTATTCCCCAAAAAACTCCATTGAGTCATGGAGCTAGTTGTGTCGTAGAATAAAAATTTCAACATCAACACAATTCTCTATAAAAAGTAAGTTTTTCGATAGCAATCAATTTATCTATATATTGACACAGTATCTGAACAGAAATATTTCTAATTCTAATCTTATACCCATAAAATCTAACCTGAGCGTTGAATATAGTCAAACGACTATACCAAACGTGTAGGCTTACGTTTAAGAGTCTTATCTCACCAGTTTTCATTACTTCTTGCAGGCACCATCCGGAAAGCCGGGATTCTCTGGAAAATCGTCTTCGATACATACAAGATTTTGAGAGATCCTTGAACATATGATACAATAGAGAAACATACTACTGAGGTTGCACTTGGTCCTGGACAATGTGTGGGAAAAAACATTAATATTCAAAACTGTATCTTTATTGTTCAGATGAACCTCCAGAATTAGAACCTCTACTCGTCTTGAATAGACCGAAGTTGCTATCCCAACAGCAATCTCGGACTGAGGGCAGGTTGACGCCCCGGGATCATTGCACAATACGTAACCTTCGGTAGCCACCTTCTTAGAATCAATTGGTGCCAGAAGTAACCGGGCTGAAAATACATCTGGACTTCAAACTGTTGAAAGAGGGTGGTATTCAGGCCTGACCTTTGATTTCAACGAAGTGCTTATCTGTTTGACAGGTTAACCTGTCCAAGTACAGCTATCTATGTCCCCGCTTGAGTTCAATGCAGTCTACTTATAAGCTCCAATTTATTGAAAAATATGGCTATCACGATCTTCGCACTGAGGAAGATCAGATCTGGTGCAAGTGTACAAGTGAAGTCTCCTTATCGTAAGATCAAGTTCCGATCATATCAACGTCGAGAGAGTATATAAGGCTTGAAGGAAGAGCAATCAGAACTCACATTTGTCTGTCTAAGGCCTGAGATTTCTTTCGAGCATAGCCACCATCGTTGCAATTGTGGTATACAGCTAGCTTCATATTCTCATATATTAGTGGACTCACAATGGAGGAAGAATATAGCTTTGGCCATCATCATCATCATCATCATGAGAGAGAGCACCACCACAGGAGAGACGATTCGCCACCACGAGTCGTTGTGTATGAGAATGATCCAGGTCAATATTACAGGAATGAGCCAGTCGTTTATGAGAATGATCCAGGACAATATTACAGGCAACCACCCGTCGTGTATGAGAATGATCCAGGTCAATATTACAGGCAACCGCCAGTCGTGTATGAGAATGATCCAGGTCAATATTATAGGCAACCGCCAGTGGTGTACGAGAATGATCCAGGTCAATATTACAGGCAGCCTCCAAGTTTTGAAACTTATCCCGATAGAGCTGCTGAGCTCGACCATCTCAGGTATGAAGAGAGAAAACACAAGAAAGAGGAACATTACGCGGAGGTTGGTGCATTAGCCGCAGGTGCCTTTGCTCTGGTACGTACTTCTCTCGAGTATGGATGGAATCGCTGAAGTTTTAATTTCGTTTTGTGATCCGTGAAACAGAAACAAGTAGCTGTAGCTTATGAAGATAAGTGTATACGAAATGGAACAGTTTCAATTGCATAGTTTGAGTTTGCGGTTTTCCAACTTGGGGTTCACAGGATTCTTCGCTTCCAGTAATTTCATCGCTTAGTTTGAACCATTTTACTGGTTGGTACATTTTACATGTTGCTATGCCAGGAAACAACATTGACGTTCATTGAGACTAAGCAAAGCTCCGACATTTTCCAATCGTTGTATTTTTGTTTTCCCACTTCGAAAACATACATGTGTTGGTCTTGCTGATGACGAGGAACCAGATTTGCTCAAATGCTAATGTTGGCTTTCTGTGTTGAACAGCACGAACATCACAAATTAAAGTCAGAGGGAGAGAACTCTGGCAGACACAAGCTGGAAGAGGAAGCTGCAGCTGGATTGGGAATGGGGGCGGTGGGCTATGCGTTGTACGAACATCACGAGAAGAAAAAGGAACACAAGGAAATGGAGGAACTCGAGAAATATGATTATGAAGCAGGCAAACACAGAGAGCATGGATGGTTTAGGTGACTCCCTACTCACATTATAGGTCCCACCTATCCATGCAGTTACGATGATCTGAACATATTGATTTGGGAAAATCAATCACTTTAAGACAGAATCAGGAGTTGTGGCAATCGATCTATTACGTTTGAAGTCTCGCTCTGCATCAAGCTTCTATGCTACATCATGATGTAATGGAATTGGGATCTACTTTATATACATAGCCAGGGAAGGTACCCCTCTAGTTTGTGCAGCCTATGCAGGGTCAAAGTTTCTTTGCAGTGTTCATCATCACGAAGATGATATATATTGTTCCAATTTTTCATGAAGATTATTAACGTTATCTTGAGCAAGTATGGATGATTAAGTGATTTCATTTGGTCGTGAATTGAAATTTAGTCCCAAATAAATGCAATCATGTGTTATAATATGATATATCATGAACATCTTGATGAATTAAACATTATAAAGATTCAACATAACTGCTGTTTCACATTCATATACATACTTAAATATAGATTTGGATGCGATTCAGATCTGGTTTAAGTCTGTCATTTCAATTTCCTGTTCATATAAAATATAGCTTGGAAAGGAGTTGATCTCAAATGCGAATCTAAGATCTTCTAAGATATACATGTAGAAGTTACCTATATAAGGCAGCGGATGTTAGAAGTACTCAAGTTTCTAAATGTTTTGAATTCCAGGTATATAAAGTAGCTAATTGTAAAAAATTTGTGTCCATACTCAATCAATTATTTTAAAGTTTACACCTAGTTGACCTTCTTGTTAAAATCATTTGTAATAACACATGGTGGTCTTGGATTATCTTAATAAAGGTTCTTGGATTCTTCTCGCAATCTAGATTTGATCTGATATGCATTCCGCATGCACTTGTATTCGTTGTATTCCCTTTTGAAAAGAGTGGGAAGAATGCATAGAGGCAGCAGAATATAAGGTAAGACTACAGAAATATACTTGTGCCCTAGGTGGTGGTGCATACTTGCACACAATTTCCCACATTTACGAGGTACCTAGTGTCTACTCAGATAAAGTCACAACTAGAATTCTAAATCAGAATTTGTTCATGTGAAGCTATCTAAAGCTTCCACGCCACAGTGCAGCCATCGTGAGAGTCTTCCATCTTATTGAGTTCTCCTGCGGTCAACCACACTCTGGAGGTATACTCGAGAGCGTGGTATCCAAAAATTGTTGGATCCTCTAAAAGATCCCAACTTGTTCAACCACAATCATGTCCTGAAGACTGAGAATATGAAACAAACAATTTCAATTAGACCAGAAACACCCATAAAAATTCCACCTGAATCCAATTGCACTCCAAATTGAGTAATAAAGTACTGATGGTAAGCTCTATGTACTCTATTCGGAGATGAAATCGAGGCGGTGACCTTGGTAAGAATTTCTTGATTATGTCAGTCCTCAGCCGGTCGTGGAAAACCAGTCTGATAGATAGCTTCGCTATCAGTAGAATTTGTCTAATCCAACTGATTCGACTAATTAGACTGCCCTCTGTTCCATAGTTTTCTATTCAATCTTGACTTCAACACTTAACTTTACAACAAAAGAAGATTAACCTTTAACATTATTGATAAATTTATTTTTTGAGATGTCGGACGGCTTGTTCCTATCACTACTACACATATACCCGGCTCCGAGTCTCTAAAACTACTGGTCGTGAAAAACTGTTGGATCCTCTAATACAGCCCTCACTGATCAATTGCTTTGGCTCACAGAGGTGCAGATGAGTCTCATCACCATCCTTCATTAGGACGGATGGTGATGACAGAAGTAGAAAAGGAAAAAGAACAGAAGAAGATTCTCTTTTTGAATTCCAGCATTCGATTGTTTGACGACTTTTAGTTTTAAGAAAGTTTGTACTCTTTCAATAGTTCGAAGTCCAGTTATACTTTCAGCCCGGTTACTCCTGGCACCAATTGATTCTAAGAAGATGTAGCTACTGCAAGTGACTTGTGGTCCAATTATCCTGGTGGCCAGAGCGTCAACTTGACCACCGGTCACTACCTGCGGACAGTTCTGAAAGATCGGTCTTTTCAAAACAAGTTGAGGTCTTATCATGTAGGTTCATCTAGCCATTAAAAAACAGTTTAGATAAGTCACTCGTGAGGTTGCACTTGGTAGAGGACCAAGTGCAACGGACAGTGGCTGCACGAAGTAATGTAAACCGGTGAGATGAGTTATAAATAAGAGATAGACTCTTAAACACAAGCCTATTCAAACTCGTTGAATAAGTCTCAAAAAGTTATTAGAAGTTTATCTAGTTATGCATATATATATATATATATATATATATATATATATATATAAAACAATATTTTTTGTTGGAGAACTGTCTATCTAGCTGACAATTCCATGTCTTAAGAGAAACCTTTCAAAAAACAATATTGTCAATGAAGCTACTAAGATTTTCATAATTGAAAAAAACCGTCTCTTTTCTTCTTATTAAAAAATAAATGACAGAATCCTTTTTACTTTGATTATCATTTAATTTTTGTATACCTGTAGTGATTCAAATCCGAAATAATTTTAAGCAGGTTTTGTTTAGCACTGCTGCGAATGCAGTTTACATGTTGCTAAACACATAGTCACATGTTTAGGCCTTTAGATCAGTTACCATTGTTCCTGTTGCATTTAATTTCCATGTTCCTGAAGAATGTCTTGATTCACCACTGCAATCTCCCGAGATAGGCCCAGATCTGTCGATTCCTTTTACGGATCTCTGAGGATTTGTCTTGCTGTCTATTCCATCGGATCTTTGTCGAAAAAGATCTGCACCTGTTCCTCAGATCTTCAGATCTTCCTGACAACATTCCTGTCCTAATTTTAACAAAACGTCGAACATATTCTCAACGTGCTTGGATCCTAGTCTCTAGGCTCAGAATGGCGATTCAGACCTCCACGTGAAAGCATCTAAGCATGAAATTGTAGCTTCTGAATGTCTTGAACCATCTCTGCCGGCATCAAACTTGAGAGGGTGCTTCATGTTTCAGTAATATAATGTTCAGCTTTCCCGGCACTTCAGCTCTATGAAAGAAGAAAAATAAAGAAAGATCAAACGGAATTTGATCCGAATTGATGCGTCTTAGAGTATCACCTTGCCTTCTCCGATGATCTCACAAAAATCACAATACACACGTGTGCCCAAGACGCCAACGAGTCAGAGGAAGACAAGCGGATAAATTGTGCAATCAGATTGTTATAATCATTGGAAAGTATTACCAATTTGAAGCTTGTTCATATTCTTGGCGTGTTCAACGATGAGATTTAGGTCAATCCTGTTGAAGCATGAAATCCTAGGGATTAACGGCACAAATGACCAAGTGAAAGCAGAACGAATAAGAAGTATAAATAGGTGTGTATAGTAAATTATTTGGCGGAATTTTAAGACATCTGCGTTTAGCTACTTTGTAAATAATGAAATCAGAGCGTTTAAGAACTTGAGTTCTTTTGGTTCAACTGCCTTTGAATGATATGTAGACAATTTCTAGATGCATATCTGAGAAGATCTTATACCTTCCATACTTGCTCAAGATAATGTTAGAAAACTAAAACACAAACCGTCAACACTTGTTCTTCCATTATGGAGAATTTATATTAATAAGAATTGAAAGAATATATTTCATGATGTCCTAATCATGAACTTTGACAGCCTCTTTGCAACGACTGACGAAATATATAATGGCTGCATGTATATATAATGGAAAGATCACAATTCCATCTACAGTAAGATGTAACGTGGACACCTGATGCAAAATGCAACTCCAAAGAAGTAAATAGATTTCCACGAATCCTATGGCTGTTCTAAAGTGATTGACTTTCCCAAATCAATATTAATGCATGGTAGATACGTGGGACCTATGAGATGGATAGAAAATCAGCTAAACCATCCGTGCTTCTCGTGTCCACGCTTCTCGAGTTCTTCCATTTCCTTCTTTTCCTTTTTCTTCTCGTGATGTTCGTACAGCGCATAGCCCACGGCCCCTACTCCTAGGCCACCTGCAATTTCCCCTTCCAGCTTGTGTCTGCCAGAGTCTTCTCCTTCTGATTTTGCTTTGTGATGTTCGTGCTTTTCAAGACACGAAGCCCAAATAAAAGTTTTAGAAATTTTGATTCCTTGTCATTACGAAGGACAACGTCTGTATGTTTTCGAAGTGGGAAAACAAAGAATACAGATATTGGAGAAATTTCAGAGTTGACCAGCAGACACAAGTTGACCAGACTATTTCTGTTGGTTGACTAGACTTGCTTTGTAGCATTTACAATTGTCGTCGTAAGCGAAAGAAAAGCGATTCTGTTATACGCATCAGAAGAGTGAAATTTCAAAACACTTCATCAGTTCCATCCATTTGCTCAAGAAATTACGTACCATAGCAAAGGCCCCTGCTGCCAATGCACCAAGCTCTGCGTGATGCTCCTCTTTCTTGTGTTTTCGCTCTTCAGACCTTGCATGATCGAAATCAACAGTTGTATCTGGAAAAGTCTCCACAGTTGGCGAATGCTTGTAATGTTGACCTGGATCACCCTCTGACAGGTCGCCTCGTCGTGGTGAATCATCTCGTCTGTGGTGATGCTCTGCTTCATGGTGATGCTCTTTTTCATGATGATGATGGCCAAAGTGATGATGATCCTCCATCTTCGAATAGACTATTATACGAGGTATATGCTGCTAGCTGTATACCAAAATAACGCCGATGGTGACTTTGGTCGAAACCAATCTCAGGCCTTAGACAGCAAAATGTGAGTATTGATTGTTCATTCTTCGAGCATTATATAGGGTCTCCACATTGAACTGGTCGGAGACTTCATCTTTCCATTTGGAGCCTTCACTTGCACATTTGCACCAGATCTGATCTTTCTTAGTGCGAAGATCGTGATGGACTTTTTTTGCAACAAAATGGAGCTAAGAACTAGAATCATTGAACTCGTGCGGGGACATAGATAGCTGTTCTTGCACAGATTAACCTGTCAAACGGATAAGTACTTCCGTGAATTCAAAGGTCAGGTCTGAATCCCAGCCTGTTTCAACAGTTCGAAGTCCAGTTTACTTTCAGCCCGGTTACTCCTGGCACGAATTGATTCAAAGAAGACGTAGCTACTGAAAGTGACGTGTGGTCCAATGATCCCGGTGGCCAGGCGTCAACTTATGCAGAGGTCATTATTGCAGGTGGGATTGGAAGTTCGGTGTATTCAAACAGAGTTGAGGTCTAATCTTGGAGATTCATCTGAACATTGAAGATTCAGTTTATAAATGTCACACGTGAGGTTTGCACTTGGTCGAAGATCAAGTGCAACCTCAGTGATCTGTTTCTCTATTTTATCATAAGTTGTAGCATCTCTCAGAGGCTTTTATCGGAACCGATTCTTTAGAGAATCAATCCTCGCGGCCTTCCATAGGGTGGCTGCACGAAGTAACCGTGAGAATAGATCTAGTGAAGGCATAGACGTTTAGACATAAGCCTTCCTATACACTTCTGAATAAGTTATTAGAAATTAATTTAATTATGCATAGAATTGATATATATAATTTTCTTTTGTTGTAGACCTCCCTATCTAACTGAAAACTGTTCCTGTGGACTTAAAGAGAAATCTTTCACAACGAAATATTGATTCTCACAGTCTTGATAATTTATCCATTTGAAAATACCGTCTTTTATCTCCGTGTTAAAAGATAAATGACAAATTTTTTTTTATACCTTGATTATCATTTAGATTTTGATTAACAGTATTGATTAGAATCCCATATTTTTTAAACCTGGTATTGTTTAGTCCCATTGCATTCGCAGCAGTGCTGAGGTTAGGTTTCTTAACATGTTGCTAAACACATAGTCACGTTCTAGGCCTTTGGATCAGTTACCATGCTTCCTGTTGCATGTAGGATCCATGCTCATGAAGAATGTCTTTTTATAGCCCTGCAATCTCCCAAGATAGGACCAGATCTGTCGATTCCGTTGACGGATCTCTGAGGATTTGTTTTGCTGTCTATTCAATCGGATCTTTGTCAGAAAAGATCTCCAACTGTTCCTCAGATCTTCCTGACAACATTCCTGTCATATCGAACATATTCCTAACGTCCTTGGGAACTAGGAGTAAGGTGGATGATGGAAGCACAGTTCCGAAAAATATTGCTTCAGGAAAGGCTAGAGAATCGGCATCTGTCTATACGACAACTGAATCCCCATGATGTTCTAAACATATGTCACACACAGAGTTCACAGTGCTTTGTGTGATAATCAGAATTCCAGGATTTGACCTTGCCTTTGACGACTTTGACGATAGACAACTGTGAAATTCTTTGTTCTCAGTTGCAGAATTAACAATTTGATAAGAAACCCACCAAACTATAGATAAGTAGAATCTGCAAAAACATGTGATCGTTGGCTGGTTGTAACTTGGGGCTGAGTAGTGAGTGACTCAGCCAATCTTGACGGAGAATACCTGATTTATAAGTTGTGAACGTTAGGTCGTTCATTAATGGGTGTCATCTATTCTGATGAACAAAAGGTTAGCATCGAAGAAAAACTAATTATCAATAGAAACAAAAACTTGTAATGTTTTTGTTGAGCAAAGTAATTTACCTCGCGTGACCTGTCTTTATTTGTGTTCTGGATAAGAGGCTGTTGGATAGCAAGCTCGACCACTCGTCTTCCGAAAACATGGGGATGAGAATTGCAGCCGTGAATATTGTAACTGGCCTGATATCAGCATCACCGATCGCTGTCACTGCAGTATTCCCGCAGTAGTGAGGATCCTTGGCTTTGAGGCGATAAGTAATGCCGCAGGAAGCTGGGAAGCAAGTGTCATAGCTTCATGTTGAGGGACGTGGATGTCATGTAGCATATCGTGCTAAAACAGCTCATGTCCGAGAGATGGAACTAACTCTCAATTGATCCTGTGCGTTTGTTCTTTTTGGGGAAAATAATCACCCCCTCCCTCAACTCAGTGACAAGAACCGCTCTCTCGGGAGAGACATAGTTGCATCTTCTTAGAAAATTGACGAGCTTTCTCTACTCAGAGCATTTGATCAGAGCAAGTGCTGTTCGAGAGACATCGATTTTGGCTGCCAGAAAATGCCTCCTCTGAGAGACTGCTTGAATATACCACAAGCCTGGACTGTAAAATAAGATTAACCCTTAAAATTCATTTCCAACTTATTCTCATTTCCGATCTAGGCTACAGTCGAACTTCTGAAAACAGGTCATTTCTCAGACTGGGTACTTTCACACAATTTAGCTCATAGAGTTGTCATTTTCCTGGATAATCACAAGCCCTTCCTCACTTCTATACTTTCCAAGTGAATTAACGTTGTCATTGAGAAAAGACTAAGATGTGAATTAAACAACAAATATTTGTTATTGTAGATGTGATTTAGCAAGGCATTTATAGAAATAAAAACGTGCATTGCAGCATAATTAAGTTTAGCTCCCAAGAGAGCAAACTTTCGAGCACAAGAAAAGAATATACGAGTTTTTAAATCTTTCAAGCATTCTAGACAAATCATGTCAAATTTGCATCAGCAAGTGCTAAAATTGACAAATCTCCTACAAACACAATCATCAAATCTAATATTTCCAAAAGGTTTTGACAATTCGATATGTTTTTAGATGAATTTATTTATTTTCCCTGTTACAAGATGGAAGAAAGTCCATAAGATCACAAGATGGATAAGACTGTCACAAAGCTTTTGATTTAGGTATTTTCTATAGCTCATGAGCAATTGCATAAAAAGGTTTTTTTGAAAAATCAATAACAACGAAGGCTGCATAAATTGAACATAATTACTTTCACTAGATTAGTAGTTTTTTACGCACTATATATATCTGATCTAGACAGCAAACACTTGCAAAATGTAAAGTTGAAATCCTTTACAGCCTAGCATTAATCCTACATATTTATTTATCAACAGAAATCTAATTATGATATATATATATATATATATATTTATACATAGAGGAGTGGCTAGTTATACCTTTGTTAATCCTAATTAATCTTCACCATAGTCTAATGATCCCATGCTGCGCACTTCTTCTCTCTTTGCCATGTACTCGTGAAGACTATATTCCCGGTGCGATATCAATTTATATTGTATCCACCAAAGACTTAACTCTGTATAGCAGAGCAAGAGCTAATTAGTCTAAACCGAAGGATAACTAACCGCTCTCATATATATATCATCTATAAAGACAAATCTAGTAAATTAAACAAAAGTATTTGTATAAACAAGAATAATCATGGATAGAAATTGTAAATATGGTTGCAAATTGCAGCTTTAAGTGCCAATTCAGACTTTTGAGCAACAAATACGTATTACCATAACTTGTGAAGAATCTTTATACTTTTTTCTTTGAAACAAAAGCTCAAAATCAGAACCCATGTCAATTTCATCTTTTTTTACATTTGACACGACACAAGAAGAGTTTTCATCATCCCCTTGAAGACTCAACAACTTAATCTTCTTGTTTGCACTTGATAAAACATAAATTTCAGCAGCTACATGAAATGATGTTTTTATGTTGTGTGAGTTCATTTTAAACCTTACGCAAATCGTGAATATAATATCTGAAATGTTTCTAAGTTATATCTCTTCCAACCTTATTAACTAAATTTGACATAAAACGGAAATAGCCTTATGTGCAAAAGAATGCTGGGCTCAAGAATACAATAAGAGCATAAAGATTGAAGATGTCCAAAAATTTATATCAAGAAAGCTGGAAAGTATAAGAATAATAATCAGCAAAGACTTTTTTTGTCGAATTCGATGTGGTAAAGAAACAAACATAAAAAATTTTGTAAAATTTTCCATTTTTATAATGATATAAAAACACGCTAGAAGTAAAAATTCAATCATTGCAAATTTATTTTTTTAAAAAAGGTGTAGTCTTCACCCAACAAAATTACTTGCAATCTTCATTAAAAATTTATAATTTGAATATTACTCTCATCCTAGGTTGAACATATTTATTAAAAATCATTAAGTAATGATTTCGATGTATTTTTGTATCACATCATGAAATGAAATTATCACTATTAAATTATTACTATGATTTAAATTCATAATGAGAATTTAAAAATATTTTACAATTTATATGAAATAATTTTTTTAAAAGTTTTTTTGGGGTTAAAATCTATAATAAGTTTTATCTATTTATGAAATTTTAAATTAAATTATTATTCCTAAGAGCTTAATATTATAATTATGAAATTTAATTTCATGAACTTCAATTATGACACAAAACATTCACTTTGAAAAAGAATTCATGAGAAAATTTTATTGATATATTTAAATCTTCTGAAACGTCTTCGTCGATTGGCATGTACTGAATTTCAAAAATATTGGCATATATTTAAATAACGCCAACAAAATTTTGATTATTGTCAAACATGATATGCCGTGTGTGCTGCAGCAAAAGATTCAAGAGCTGATTGTAGAACATACTCTAGATATGGGAAGAACTGAATAAAAAACTTAGTCCTTATATTCAGTTTAAAGGTACAAGGTCTACATTTAAATTTATTGAAATGTTTCAAATATGCATTGAAATCAAAGATTCTCATCATAGGGACTTTTATAATAAGTGCTTATTTATATTTTTTTTCTCTCCCACCAATTAGAATTTATCTAGAAGTAATAGGAGAGAAAAAAATGACTTGTAAACTAGCACTAGTTTAAGTTAGTATCATTTATTAACATTACTCTTTATAGTTTCATCATCATAGAACGTATTACTAATCGTAAGTGGTAAAATGTACACAGCGTGTTGTAATAGTATCACTATATATACTATGAGTGTTTTTTTTTTAATATGATCTTTTTATAACATAATCAATTTTCGATTGCAAGAACTGCACTTTGATTTCTTAAAGTTTTTTTACAGGCAAGGGAATCAATTCATCGTAGCGATCAATGGCACGACAGTTTGCCACCCTGAGTACTATTTGGACTCTTGCCTTCTATAAAATTAGTTGAAAACTTTGGATCTGATAGTGTTGAAAGTAATCAACAAGGAAAAGCAGCACAAACTAGTTAGTAAAGAAAATAACAAAAGTGAAGATGAAGTGACATTTTCTCAACCTTTCATACTTGCTGTAGAAATTTTTTTATTAAAAAAAGTCATATTACGTCAAAATATGCTCGTTCATAGATGGAAGAGGTATTACAATCGCCGTGTTTTTTATTTTTTTGTTAGACATTTGGATGATGAACTATCACAACATATTGGCAAAAACTGCACTCGAAAAGGGTGCTCAAACTGGAAGGATTCTTCCCAATCCTGACTATGTCTATACAAAAGAACCCAATCCAATCTACGTTTGGATGTAACATGGACACTTGAAGCAGGGCGGAACTTGAAATATATAGACTCATTGCAATCACTCTTGAATCTCTCATAACAAGATTGAATCTCTCACAACAATAGCTTCAGAACATTGTAAATGCATGGTAGATACGTGGGACCTATGACATGGATAGAAAGTCAGCTAAACCATCCATGCTTCTCGTGTCCATGCTTCTCGAGTTCTTCCATTTCCTTCTTTTCCTTTTTCTTCTCATGATGTTCGTGCAGCGCATAGCCCACGGCCCCTACCCCCAGGCCACCTGCAATTTTCCCTTCCAGCTTGTGTCTGCCAGAGTCTTCTCCTTCTGATTTTGCTTTGTGATGTTCGTGCTTTTCAAGACACAAAGCCCATATAAAAATCTCAGATTTTTTGATTACTTGACATCACGAAGAGCAACGTATGTATGTTCTCGAAGTGGGAAAACAAAGAATACAGCGATTGGAGATTTTTTCAGAGTTGAGCAGCAGACAGACCAAAAGTTGAGCAGACCATTTCTGTAGAACTAGACTTTTCTCTAGGTTGACTAGTCTCATTTCTAGCATTTACAATTGTCGTCATAGGCGATAAGAAAGTGATTCTGTCAAACGCATCATAAGAGTGAAATTTCAAATCCTTCATCGATTACATGCATATGCTAGAGAATCGACGTACCATAGCTAATGCACCCGCTGCCAATGCACCAAGCTCTGCGTGATGCTGTTCTTTCTTGTGTTTTTTCTCCTCAGACTTTGCATGATCGAAATCAGCAGTTGTATGTGGAAAAGTTTCAGCAGTTGGCGAATGCTTGTTATGTTGACCTGGATCACTCTCTGACAGGTCGCTCGGTGAATCATGTCGTCTGTGGTGATGTTCTGCCTCATGGTGGTGCTCTTTTTCATGGTGATGAAGGCCAAAGTGATGATGCTCCGCCATCTTCGAATCGACTAATATACGAGAGATATGCCGCTAGCTGTATACCAAACTAACACTTATGGTGACTTTGTTGGAACAAATCTCAGGCCTTAGACAGACAATCTTGAGTACTGATGGCTCATTCTTCAAGCATTATATACTCTCTCCACTATGATATGATCGGAAACTTGATCTTGCCATACCGAGACTTCACCTTCACACTTGGACAAGATCTAATCTGTCGAAGTGTGGAGGTCGTGGGGGCCATTTTTGGTATCAAAACGGAGGAAGAAGAAGTCTTCATTGAACTCGTGCGGGGACATAGATAGCTGTACTTGCACATGTCAGCCTGTCAAACAGATAAGCACTTCTTGAAATACGAGGTCAGGTCTGAATCGCTGCTCTTTCAACAGTTCGAAGTTCAGATATACTTTCAGCCCGTTTACGTCTGGCACCAATTGATTCTAAGACTGTGACTACCGAAAGTTACGTATGGTGCAATGATCCCCATGGCCAGGGCGTCAACCTGTGCAAAGTGCGTTAATGGGGGTGGAGTTGGAGTCGGTCTTTTCAAGACCGACTTTTCAAGACGTGTTGAGGCGCTAATCTTGGAGATTCATCACTTTACAAATGTCCCACGCATTGTCTTGGACCACGTGCAACCCCGGTGATATCTTTATTTCTGTTATCATGAGTTGAAGGAGCTCTCAAATTATTTTATTACCTAGAGAAATACTGATCCCGGTGATATCTTTATTTCTGTTATCATGAGTTGAAGGATCTCTCAAATTATTTTATTACCTAGAGAAATACTGATCACGCCTTTCCAGGGGGGTGGCTGCACTAAGATATGAAAACCTGTGAGATTAGAATTAAACAAGGCATAGACTCTTAAACATAAGCCATCCTCTACACTTATAAATAAGTCTCAAAAAGTCTCATTCGTGGATGTGATACTTTGGAGACCTTAATACGCTACAGATCTTAAATTTGATAATACTGTGCATTCGTGGTCCATTCGTGGTCCATTTTGAGATTCACAGAAAATGTATGAGAAGTAGAGATGAGGCAATTTGAAAGCTCGGATTATTATCAAGTGCAATGTTGTTGCAAAAAAAGACCGAAGTGATGGAGTTGATGTTGATGCAATGAGATACCTTCTTTTCTGGGACACAGAAAGTCAAGAAGTCTTACAAAACTAATAATATTTCTCACTTTGGTATTCCTTTTTTGAAAATAGGAGATATTTTTTTTGAACTCAATCTCCTAAATGTGTGAACCCATTGAACTTAAATGAAACAGTTTTTTCATTTCAGTCAACATTTTAGACTTCTAAACTTTCATGGATCAAAACTAGTGGTCTTTTCCTTTACGGTAATTGGTAAGTTTATCTCGTAGTGGAACTTGACGAGAGATATTTATTAATTATAGCAGCGAAGTAAAGACCGAGAATTATGAGTAAAGGTTCACACTGCTATATGTTAAGCTATCTAAAGCTTCAAAGCCACATAGCAGCCGTTGTGGACGTCTCCAATCGAATGGACATCTTAGATTCCTGATTGAAGTACCATGGAGAGAACCTGTATCCTTTTGGATTGCGAAGAGGGTAAAGTCGGCCTTATACTCGTCATGTTTCTCCTCAACGATCATGAAGGCCGCAAGAATCACGCAAGAATTCCTTTTTCATTTCCATTGGATGTGCAGCAATGGTAGATAAGGTTTTATAAACATGCTGCTTGTCAAGTTGCTAATCATAATCACATCCTCGGTCTTGAGAATAGTTCAGCCAGAGGATATCCGGTACTAGGCATCCAGATCAGTCAGCATGGTTCCTGTTGCATTGAAGTTCCATAATCTAACTCTCATTGAAAATCACGGCAGAACAAGAGGTTCGCAAACAATCCAGAATCCAAGTTGAGCAGCAGACACATCATATAGTGGTCTTAAAAAACTGTTGGATCCTCTAATGTAACCCTTACATATCCTAATCCTCCTCGTTGAAGAGAAATAGAAATGAATCCTATCAGACATATGATATTCGTATAAACAAAAAGAATTCATAAAATAAACGTAGATATGCTGGAAAGCTTCACAAACCATTGAACATATTCTGTCTGTCTGTCCAAACGAATTTCATATAACTGATATCATTGAATATCTGTCTTACGAAAACTGAATCCACACGATGTTCCAAACAGATGTCTGACGCGTAGTTCAAGGTAAACTATGCGATAATCAGAGTTCCAGATTGTGATCTTGACTTTGACGATAGATAATTGTGACACACTTTGGTCTCATTCGCAAATATACATACCACCCATCAATTTGATAAGAAACCCACCAATCTTTAGACACTATGAATCTGCAAAAGCATTTAATTGTTGACTTGTTTTAACTTGTGGCTGAGTAGTGAGTGACTCAGCCAATCATGACAGACATTAGCTGATTCATAAATTGTGAATGTTTCAGGTCCTTCATTTATGGGTGTTATACTTTTTCGATAGAGATAAGATTTGCATTGAAGAAAAATAATTATCAATAAATACTTAAAATCCTAATTAACTTTTTGCTAAGTAACTTACTCCGTTGAGTCCAACTTGTGGACCATAGTAGTCAACCAATTATTTGAGAGTGACGTGTCTGGATTTGTGTTCTGGATCAGAAGCTGTTCGATAACAAGCTCGACCACTCGGTGTTTCAAAACATGGGGACCACGATGAGCATTGCAACTGGCCTGATGCACCTACTGCTATTGCGGCATCCGTGAGAATCCTTGGATTTGAAGTGACAAACGGTAAGGCGCTGTAATCTATTGGCACGGAAGGAAAGTTTGTGACAGAGGATTTGTATGCTCAGTTATCGGATCTTGAATACTATCTATTGAAAGTAATGCGAAAATCTGAACTAATAGTTTATGCTTGTAATTCAGTCCGGATTCCTGCTCATGTAAATCCTGTGTGACAAACTTCCTTCAAATGCTAATATCATGCGTCAAGAATGCATGATTTTTAATGTCCCACAATAGTTGTGCAAGGGCTTCGTAATCTCCAGAAAGCCATGGAAGTCAACAACATGTAAAAAACACAAAATAGATATAAAAATCTCTAAGAAGTATCTAGAAACTGAAACATGAACAAAAAGAACTATGCTCAAGCCTTGGTAAACTTCGAATATTGCCTACCAAATCAACACTCTCACATTCTCACATCCTGGAGAAGGCACCGAAGACATGGCATTTCAACCAATACCTACAAAGACTCTTTACTCACTTAAACTCACTTTTAGCCAAATTAATGTAAGAAATCTTCCACAGCTGCATATCTGTATTGGCAGGCATAGATTGAAGAGTGAACTTTTCCTTCACAGCATTCAAACATGTTGAGACATAAACGTGCAGCAGCATTTGGACATGAAATTACTGATGCAGGTCATGGTTGAACATGTTCGAATGCTTCCCGGGAGTGGTCACCCATCCCATTTGGATAGGTGACCTGCCGGGAAGTCCCGCATCCAACTTTTTTGAAGAAACAAAACTCTTAATTACCCTTCGGAAAGAAATCCTTTACGTGAAACCCGTTTTTTATTATTTTAAATTTTTTTCCAAAATGAACTAATTCGTGGATTTTCTTATACTGAATAGAGTTCTTCCAATGTTACTAAACATGGACACTTTAGAGGAATCCAGGGATATATTCAAGATTCAGGTCTAGAGATGTAGATGATCTAGACCTGAAGCTTGAATATGTCCGTGGACTGCTCTGAGGTGTCCATATGTTTAGGATGATTGGAATTCCTCTAATCTTACTAGACACATGGACACTTTAGAGGAGTCCAGGGATATATTCAAGATTCAGGTCTAGAGATGTAGATGATCTAGACCTGAAGCTTGAATATATCCGTGGACTGCTGTGAGTTGTCCATGTGTTTAGGATGATTGGAATTCTTCTAATGTTACTAGACACATGGACACTTTAGAAAAGTCCAGGGACATATTCCAGCTTCAGGTCTAGAGATGCAGATGATCTAGACCTGAAGCTTAGATATGTCCGTGGACGGCTCTGAGGTGTCCATGTGTTTAGGATGATTGGAATTCTTCTAATGTTACTAGACACATGGACACTTTAGAAAAGTCCAGGGATATATTCCAGCTTCAGGTCTAGAGATGTAGATGAACTAGACCTGAAGCTTAGATATGTCCGTGGACGGCTTTGAGGTGTCCATGTGTTTAGGATGATTGGAATTCTTCCAATGTTACTAGACACATGGACACTTTAGATTAGTCCAGAGACATATTCAAGGGTTATAGTATGATTGGAAGTTCTCTAATCCGTATAAGATTATCCACAAATTAGTTTGTTCTGGGAAAAATTAGAATGTTAAGTGGAATACTATAACATGCAGCATTTGAAGAAAAATAAGAACTTGTATAGAGTCTTTGTAGGTGCTAGTTGAGATGCCATGTACAAACAGAAATACCATCACCACTCTAAACAAGGTGTCATCTAGACCGTAGCCTTTACACATAAGCAGAAATACCCTCACTAGTCTAAACACATAGTCATCTAGACCGTAGTGTGTTCACATTTCATTCACAGGTGCTTTCAAGATGAAAGCATGCTCCTTACACATAAGGCTGTAAATACACATTCTGCCACCACTCTAAAGTCTGGTAGAATTCCAACTAGTACGAAACAATAAGTGGAAGAAGCGTGATTTCGTCCTCAAAGCATTGTAAACACATGGTTTTTTAATGATGTGGATTTGTAATATGGACAAAGAGATAAATAGTGGCATTATTTCGCTATCAGCTGCTTTCAGGACGAAAACGGCTGATATTCCATATTCCACATCATTACAAACATTGAGATGCTAAGATTTTATATACTACGATAAGCAATATTCAAAGGAAGAAGTATTCCTCTGGAAATGTTAGTAGAGTAATTTCAAATGCAACCCACTCTAGGGAACCGAATGCTTATATCCTGCAATTCAATTAGCTAAGATTTTATATACTATGATCCGAGATCTTTTCTAAGGAAGAAGGATTCCTCTAAAAATGTTTGTAGAGTAATTTCAAATGCAACCCACTTTAGGTAATTGAGAGCTTAAATCCTGCATTTCAACTAACTATTATCAAAACTTTTCGGGCAAAATTGAATTGGCTTGAAAAGGGATTCTCTTAACAAATTTCAAGATTATGTTAAATTT